TGCAAACGATTCGAGCTTTAAATTGTGGGATGTGGGAAATAAAATTCGGTTCGCGCATATTATGATCGGTGCCAGTCTCTACGAAACGAGATTCGGGCTCTCATATTCAGGAAGACCACTGCTACTTCGTCTCTCTATGCACCTCTCGGCGCTCAGAATTGTTAGTCAGTACCGGACAACATTTAATGGACATGGTCAGGAGGTGGCATGTACCCCACTCGCTCTACTTTTGTTGAGGCAATAACACACAGCCGGGCAGAGCGCCCGCTACATTACTATTGGCAGCTTACACCCGGCATCTGCCTACAGTATCCACATTGAGCTGGTTTAAATTATCCGGTGCTTATATGTGTCACATTCATTTGAAGCAGCAGTACCATTCGAAGCCAGTAAAAGTATAAATAGGAAACTGGAGATGGATTCGAAGTCTCGAAACCCAGAATGTCCGCGGCTTTCGGGAAAGGAAACGGTTAAATTGGCTGGTGGCTTGTAGGAGGACACTAGTGAGAGAACGCCCTCTTGCCTGGATCGTTTAAGAAACGCACATAAGCAGCAATGAGTAGCTGCTCAATTTGGGGGAGATAAGGGCGCGGCTTTGGGGGTGGAAGGATACTATATACGGCGGCGCCTTTTCATACTGAAGCGTGGATAATTGTCGAATGGAGAGGAGGTTAAATCGACTAATAAACCCGGCAATCGCCACATGGACACGTCTCTGGCAAATGGAACAACGGACAAACCAAACGATCGCAACGGATCCAGGCGAATTTGCTTGATTAATGTTTACGTCCCAAATTATCCCGCGGAACGAAGCGTATCTTCACCTGCTAGAGGCAATAAATTTAGTAGCCTTGGCAGTAGACTGATTTAGTAATTGGATGGGTTTTCAATTGTGTACAGAGTCCGCATCTTGACAGGCTTAAAAGACTCAGGGCTACAGACTAATCTCTCTCTTGCAAACTGGATATGACATTTTAAGTAAGGTCATAACTACGAGGATCTAACGCGTCCTGGGAAAATTGATTGGAGCCTCGCAACAGGGTTTTGTCCATGGCAGATATTTGCAAAATACCGTGATGATGATGATGGCAATCTTGGAAACTGCCAGAGATGACCTAGGGGTGACAGACACGATGATACGAGTCATTCTGTTGCTGCAAATCCGCAAAGCGTATGATTTCGTCCCCAGTGAAGATTTATATTTGATGCTCCAGCTCTTTGGCTTCTCCCTGGCATTTGTAACTATTATCAAAACTATTCAGAAAGACACTACTGCCCAATTTGTCGTGAACGGAGTCCTGTCTGAGCCACAAGATGTCCGTTCCGGCACTAGGCAAGAATGTTCACTGGCTTCACTACTTTTCCTCATAGCGGCAGAATTGTTAGCGCCGGCGATCCACCAATATTCTGTGATTGAATGTCTTCTCGTTTCTGGAGGACGGGTGTTCAACAAACATTTTCATCTTTTGTGGATGGCTCGACAGTGTATTAACAGGAGGCGAGCTACCTGCCTCGAGTGCTAAGTATTGGTGAGAGATTTGGAAGTTTATCTGCCTCAAGATGGCAACCGATCAAAGGGTAAATTAATTTTGTTGAATTCGGCCGTCTGAACGGAAACGTGTTTTGGCATTCCTGTGCTCCGTCATGTCGACACGACGAGGTACTTATGGTACGCCGTGGGTACTGGAGATATGACAGGACCGAACTGGGCTGCGCGCATACTAATTTTGAAATGAAGACTTGCAACGGCAACTCAGCTTGCCACCAGCGTCGAGCATCGCATATTAATTCTTACATTGTGCTGCCGGCCGTGTTATACACGGCGACTGTGTTCGATCTTTCTCCATGGTCGGAACAACAGGTCTGGAACATTCAAAAGCAATTTATTCGGCGACAATCAACTAGTGTGCAGGCTGCTCGCCACAAAATTACTCCTACACTCTGGTATACGCCTCGACAGGCGGGTGGGGTGGGCCTTGCTTTAATTTTAGTTGCCTGCAAGACGCGGAGGGTAATTTAAGCTATTTTGTGGCTAACTCAGAGCAAAGACAGCTATTTTATGCTTGGTTGGCATCGGCATTCCGTGTATGATCTCTGGCATGGAAACATGACGTATCGCCGCTTGTAGATCGAGGTTCCCAGGGTACCGCAGCAAGCCTGTAACGGGGTGAGTCCGCTACATAAATTTGATACGAATGTACCAATTTTTGGGCATTATCTTTTTAGATAATACTCAATCAACATCACTCGAGAAGAGATGATGTTGGCGGAATTTTCCCCGAGGGTAATATTTGTGGGTACTCAACCTCTTGGGTAATGTACTTACATCGACCAAAGTAACCACCAAATTGCTGCTGGACGCGCGCACTGGGTGATGAGCAAGAGACCCACATAGGAGGCGGTAGTTTATTATAGTTAGATTAAGACGAAAGATGATTTACAAAAGAAACATAACTATATTAAATAACAGTTTCACTATTCCTCAGACAGAGTCTTCGTGTTCTGTTTGCTTCGGTTGCGCTTCCTTGCCATGAGTACGTGACGTCAGGAGCACACAGCCTTGTGTAGAGTCTACACAAGGTCTTGCCAGTCATCTGGCAAGAAGCGTGCCTTGTTATAAAGTCGCTCTTCTTGTGACACTCTCATGCACTTGTTAGGTCCTTGGATGGCGCCAAAATGAATCGATCCGGGAGGCAGACAAAAGCGACTCACTGAGTTTATCGTGAGATATGCGTCTACGGCGATCAGTTTGTCCACCCCCAAGGAATGGATAATCAAGATCGCGGAGCCGCTTCGTCAATTTGAGTATCTACTGACCTATGAAGATGCGGAATTTTGGCCTACCTTCTCGTGGATAACCCATAAATCCTTGATCACCAAGGGAAGGCACTTACGTACCGGAGGAATTCCAAGATTAGAACTTGTTTAATGGCCGACCTGCGTTCATATCGCATTGGGGTACAAACATATTCTTTTGTCGTTCCGAATATAAGCAATACCATGCATCGACAAGATAAGCAACGTCGCTGGGGCTTGACGATTTTATTGAATGCATCAAATTTGGCCATAGCCACGACACTGCAGGTCAGGGGAAAATTGTTGCTCCGACACCCGCCGCCTCTACACCATGTTTACGACTGGTAATGCGTTGCCCAAGGTCACATCAGAGGGGTGATTGCGGGAGCGGGCAGTCGCCATCACGACCATATTGTTTCGAACAAGAAAGTAATTGAAGTCATTGGAAGCTTGCAACATCTGACAGTAAGCAACAGACGACGGCAGCCCACTGCTAGACTTTTTTCGACAATGCCAAGATTCGGGTAGCATAGTTTTATGTGCTCGCCCATTTCTGCACGAATTTCCTTGGAGCGTGCCGGATTCAATTGCGAATCCGCACGTCTCAAAGGCCATCGAAAGACAACCATTCCGCTGGTTTAGAGGAGATGACAGGGCATTGGCCTCTACTGTGGAGAAGCGACAATGTGAAGCACAAGCTAGTGCGTGGCAGGCTGCGGCGTTCACGCAGGCGCCTGCAAACATTTGGGCTCATCACAACGAGATTACGGAGTATGAGATGTGAATAGTTTATCGAGTGGCACTGCGTCAACTCAATTTTTACTTCACGGGGCGGGAAATAGTCACAAGTTACTGCAAGTTGCAACGCTGTTGAGGTACCAAGGAGACCATGGAGCATGTTTTTTGGATGAGCCTATGCGCTCAGGCGTGTTGGCAACAGCTCATTTGCAAATAGACAGGTGAACGATGGGAGATTAGCCGCGTGCACATCTTTCTCGCACACTGACTGTGCTGGCCGTCAGACATCGAGTGTCTCGTCTGTGGTTTGGGACCGCATTCGTCGTGATCACCCGGATGAGGAGACAGAGTATGCGCGCGTATGGGCGAGAATGTGGACTATCCTCAAGCAGTGTATGTATCACTAGCCTATGGATGCAACGAAACCGCGCTACGTTTCATCACGAAGTCGGGTCAACTTGCGAGTAGCGTCAAGGACTTTTGGGACACGGGAATGCGGCAACTCAGAGCAGTTGCAAAGCGTGAGTTCCGGCGAGATGATACGAAGATCAACGGAGCCCGCCTCCTCCTATGCCAACGTGAACTAGACCGGCAACCCCGAGAGCCGTCACCTCAGGTGACATGCCTCGAACAACCACCGGACTCGGCTAAGGAACCGGCGTTGCTGACCAGGCTTAGGATTTACCAGACATCTTGTAACCATTACAAGGTGAATAGACCCGTCTGCCTCTCTCACACTGGCACTCGCAGTAGTATTCTACACCGTCTCGGTGCTCTGAATTGCGGCAGTAAAAGGAGAGGCAGACTGAAGCAAGCGGTAGTCTCGAGATTCGTACGTGTATGTATCGATAAGGCCACACACTTCACTCGAAAATCACACTGTCATCTGCACCCACACCTGAAGATCGCTCGTCAAAACGACGACTAGGGCTATGTAGGGAGTGCACCAGCAAAACTCACCTTCGCTCTAGCACCAGTAATTGCAAAAGTGAGACACACCCCTTTGTGCTCGATCCTCACGCACTCGTTGTTAGACGTATCGTAGCTGGTCGGTGGTCGCCTGGGATCGAAAAGACCTATCGGCACTGCCCGTTCTGTCGTTGTCGGGAAACATAGACAGCTCGTCGTCCGTCTTGCCCGCTCGTGCCAAGGGCCTTTGGGTCGACCGACTTTACCCCGTCAGTGTCGTGCACAAATCCCGACTCGCGTCGGCCGTCGTGTCCCCCACTCTTCGTCCAGTTTCGCTCCTCCTCAGGTCGTCCGTCTGTCCGTCGTCTGAGCTGCACTTGAGAGTGGCTGTCAGCCAGCCGCGCCCAGCCACACGGTCAACGTCATTCGTTCGACGCACAGAGATCAACCGCCAAAGGGGTTCCGACGGACTGGTGCTCTCCGTCCCTGGGCCGCTTTGTTTCCGCGCGGTCTTCGCTCGCGTGTCTGGACTCGCCACGGACGCGGCTGGAAGCTGAATGGGAACTGTGGCCTCTGGACACACCCTCCCAGTTCCGCCACTGCATCGCCGGTCGGACAGCAGCGACGAGGTGCACACCGACACGTCCTTGTCGCCTATGGTGAACGCACCGCGCGCACTCGGTCGTGCGGCCACGAGCCGCGAGAAGCGTGGGGTGAACGCACCAGCAACGGCAGCTGCTGCTTCCTCGTCCAAGAGGGCGAGAGGGACAAAGACGGACGCCGAAGGAGCTGTTGCTGCGGCTGTTGCGGGTGTCGGTGACGACGCCGTTGACGACGAGATGGAGGAGGAGGAGGGCGACAAGTCGAGCCGGAAGCACCGCAAGTACGAGCGCAAGACCAAGCGCTTTATCTGGCCCGACGACCTCCATCGACTCTTTGTGGCTGCAATCTTTGACGGTGGGAGCTCCATTGTGACTGCGATTGTAGACGAGGGCTGTTCATATAGCACTGACGCGCGTGTGTTTCTTGTGTGGTGTGCAACTGCTACTGCATCTGCTGTAGTCGGTCTGAAAAATGCGTCGCCAAAGTCTCTCCTTGCGGTACGTTGCTGTGTTGTTGTTTTGTTGTTGTTGTTGTTGTTGTTGTTGTTGTCGTTGTTGCTGTTGCTGTTCTCGTTTGTCTTGTCGCTCTTTGTACTTGTCACGTAGTAACGACACGGGGCTGTGAACACGTTGTCTGGTGTTGTGGGATGTCTTGAATGCAGCTCATGGAAGCAGCCGGGCCGGACACGGGCCTCACGACGGAGCACCTCAAGTCGCATCTGCAGAAATATCGGCTCAACTACGAGCGGTCTCGGATGCAGTTTCTCGAGTATTATGAGCAAAGCGCCAAGCGCAACCTGAAGCGCCGGCGTCGTTGTCCGACGCAACACCACAGTCATGGGGCAGGGAGTGATGCCAAGGCGGCGACATTTGTGTTCCCTATCAGTAACTTGAAGCGCCGAAAGCAACGTGAAGGCTACAGTGACAGCAACGAGAGCGACTCGGATCCTGGCGACAGCAAGTCCGATGACAGCAGGCTGCAGGCGGATGTAAAAGGTCAGGACACGTCAGAGAGATTGTGTGCTTCGCCCATATCGAGTGGAGAAGCACATCCGCGCAGTCTCAACTACTCGCAGCTCATGCAAAGTGCACAGCAGCAGCCAGCGACCAATTGCCTGCAGCCCCCTGTACCTAATGGGCCTCTGGCGCACGCTGCGCCAACACTGGCATCCACAAGTTTGGCTTCTGCAGCGCCTCGACGCCTGCCACCAAATTATGCTCGAGCCCAACTGAAGCAGCCTTCAGACCACGATCCTGACTTGGTGGTAGCGACAGCCGCTGCAGGTGCATACCGTTGTCCATTAGGACAGCTACCGGGGTCTGTTGCTGGTGGAGTTGCCAGCATGCCGGAGCTTACTGATCCACAGTGGAACATCCTCAGCTCGCTCATGTCGCCACAGCTCGCGGGCATGAGCGGATTGTTAGGTGAGAACGGACCGTTTGCGCAAGTTGCGACGAGCGAAGCAATGGCGCGTGGCGGCAATAGCGCAGACGCGTTTACACTCCATGGCGGACCAACGGATTTACAAGTGCAGATGCACCTCGCCATGCAGGCTCAAATGAATCTCCACCGTCAAATGCTTACGCGAAAAGTGGAAGTGGCGCAGCATCTCGCTCGCCATAGCACCATGGGCGCAATGGATAGTAGCCCGGCATCAAGCGATCGAAGCCACCCGCATGTTCATCCCAGGAGCTACGGCGAATCGTGGAACGGCACACAGCAGTTTCAGCACCAACCATACCAGCACCAGCAGCAACACGACCACTATCATCAGCAAATGAATGTGATACCTCAGCCACATCCATCCGCCTCGGTATCAAATACGCAACCACTCGTACCAGGAAGAATTGCACAACCAGACACAATTGTGGCAGCCGCGGTGACCAGTAAAGCGACGGAGATTCCAACGCCGACGGGTAGCAACGTGTCTGCGGTGGGGGTTACTGACGCAGCGGGAATGGCAACAGAGACGAAGGCTGGCGATGACGGAATCGATCTGTACCGTTGGGATCGTATCGATTTGAACGTGGCACTCGATGACGATGATCTTTTCGGCTTTTTGAAGTCGTAAGCGTGTCATTTGTAGAGCAACGGGACTCATGTACGAATGAAAGCGCTACGGAAGCACAAGTGACAAGCAGCGTCCATGTAAAAAGACAGCGGGGTATACGATTTAGATCAGAGCAGCCGATGCACCGCCTATGGAGTGACTAATGCACGCGAATGAACAAGTTATCGACAACGGCCACGTCTTGCAACAACCTGTCATCGAAAAGGGACAAACACGAAGTCATACGCACGTCTCTTCGTTTTGTGATTGCTTACCCTCGCGGGCGCCACAGCCTTCCGCCTATTCCAACGCGACGTCCTCTTCGAGCAAATCAGACCTCCTCATGCCTACCTCCCGCATCAAGTAACACTTGTCCTGCTGCTCCAAGCGCGCTCCAACTCTTTTGTGTGTGTAAAGCTACTGACTATCTGCCATAGGCTCCGTGCCCTCCGTTGGTGACTCTGTGGGTGGCTTCTCGTCGTCCAACAAACCGCGGATGAAAAGCACGTTGTTGCACCGCACGAGTGTCTCGCCCAGATTCCCAGTGAGCTCTCCATTGATATACTCCTCCGTATTGGCCAGCTGCAAGTTCATGTACGAGTCCACAGACAGCAGCACGCCCTTGTACTCCATTCCCCACTTGAGCCGCGCGACCACTGGTTTGCCCGTGAGGTTCGTCAGGAACGGCTTGGGGTTCAGGATCAGACCGGACTGTCGAGATGGAGAACACACACACACACACACACACATAACACCGACGCGTTGGTACGATGGCCGGCTTAGTATCGCGAACACAAGAGCATCCAGGACGCTGGCGCGGTCCGCCATGGCGAGACACGGGGCATTGAGGCACGCACCATCTTCCGTCGCGGGACTGTTGTAAATAACCACTTCTTTTGGCCAATGAGGCGCGCGTGTTCCGTCCATACCAACTACAAGTGAGAAACTGTCCATCTATTTGTACCACGGACGGGTGGGTGGCTCTCGTCTATTGCTGCTGCGCGTCCAGCGTAATGACCTTTTGGTCAATGCGTGTGAGAAAGTTGCCGCGTGCTTCAGAATCGCGCACAAACACATGGAGCACGGGAATACCAGGCACAACATATGTCGCATGCGTCAACAGCTGCTGCAGCGTGCAAAAGGGCGACAGCTCGATCCAAAACGGCGTCTTGGCTTCGTGTTTCTCCTCGAGACGAACGCGCTGCACTTCTTCGTCGTCGTCCTCGTTTTCGCCGCTGAGATTGACGTGCCACTCTTTCGGCGACGAGTACGGCACGACACTATCCGCCGCAGCATAGACGACCAACTTGGACGCTACAAACGCCTTCTCCGTGTCCCACTCGGCAAACGGACCAGTCTCTGGGAACATGTTGGCGAGGTGTTCAATCACACTGTCCTGTTCACCAAAGCACTGCACAAAGTCGGACGTGCCGTGCTGGTCGTAGAGGAAGAGCACAGGCCAGTACATGCTACCGCTCGTAGGGTCCAAGTCGGCCTTGCCTTCGTACTGTCGCACACGCTCGTCGTCGACCAAAGCTCGACCCACACGAATGCCACGCCCTGCACATAGCTTGCGGTACTTGTCCGTCGCAGCGCGGCGTTTCATGCGATCCCTCTCGCGCTGGAGCTTCTCGGCACGCATCTCCTGCAGCAAACGCCGTCCCTCGGTCTGCAACTTCAGCAACAAGGTGTTGTCTGGGTCGTGCTTGAGACCTTCCTCGCAATAGCGCAGCGTGTCCGATGGCTTGCGAAGCATCCGAGAGGCTTTAGCACCCCGGAAATACGCCTTTACGTTCGACGGGTCCAATTTGATAGCTTTGGCTGCGTCCGAGCGGCAACTTCCGTAATTCTTGAGCTCCAGCTGCACCGCGGCCCGATTGCACAGAATCTGCGACGTGAGTTGCTGCATGTCGTACGACCGATCGCGCGCTTCCATCGGTAGCGCCAGCGCCTTGTACGCGTACGCCAGCGCGTCAGTGTAGCACTTGAGCGCGTTCGAGAAGTACCCTCGGTGCGCCTTCTTCGCGTCCGAGAACATGTCGTTGCCCTGCTTTTTCCAATGCAGCGCTAGACTCTCGGCCGTCTCGCCGTCCTCGATGAGCGCCTGGATCGCCGCTACCATCTCGTCTCCCTCGACCACGTGGTCGTCGAACAGCGTCATGTCTGGCAGTGCGTCCATGTACGCCTGACGTGCCGCGGGGTCCCATAACTTGCTCTCGTCGATCTCCAGGTCCACGCCGACCATACTGCGTGACCCAATGCCGCTGACCGCGTGTGACTGGCCGCCGCTCGGTCTTCGAGTGAATTCGCTTAGGTACGAAGCGCTCACCTACGCAGGCACACCTGAGCACAATGCCCTACGGCAGTTTTTGTTCGCGGATCAGGAGTGATGGTCACCACGACCGACACCAGTCAGTGCGCACTGGGCGACGCGGACGGACCGACACCGCCGCAGCTGCTGGAGACCGCCAGGACGGCCGAGTGCTGTCAGTGCAGCAAGACGGACGTCAAGTACCGCTGTCCCCGCTGTGAGCGCATCACGTGCTCGCTGTCGTGCTGCGTGGGCCACAAGAAGCAGGTACAGGCGCGCGTGGGCTGAACCAGACGAGCGCCTACGTCCGACGACCGACTGCTCAGTGTGTAACCACGTGACGTGTCGATGTCTGATGTGTGCTTGCAGTTTGACTGCAGTGGCAAGCGCGATCGCACCAAGTTCGTGCAGCTCCAGCAGTTCACCGACGCCGATCTCTCCAGTGGTACGTCGCGGCTGATGCGATCGGTTGAACAGGCGTGTGGGGTGTGCGTGTTTGTCTCTTTTATGTGTTCATGTGATGTGTGACTGACATGATGTTTACGTACGTCGGTTCGCTGTGTGTCGATCGATCTCTCGATAGACTTTTTCTTCCTGGAAGAGGTGTCTCGCTCGACAAACAGCGCAGCACGAGCTCGGAACCACTTGAACGCGACAGCGCGGCGCTATGGAAGCAATAAGAAGCGCAAAAGTGCAACGACGGAGCAACAGAGCGGACAGCTGTCGCACTGTGTGAACCCGGACGTACCGGCCGACTGGTTGACGCGCTTTCCTGTTGCTGTGCAGCTGTTTGCCAAGCACGCGGCTGAGCGAGGCGTGGCGCTAACGATCGTTGCACCGGGCATGAGCAAACGGGCGCGCAACTCGTCGTACATGGACACGAAGAAAAAGACGATGTTTTGGCGCGTCGAGTGGCTGTTTCCTAGCGCAGAGGTGCCCGTGAATCATTTTGAGGAACGCGCGGATGAGAAGACGACACTCTACGCGCTGCTTGGCAAGTACCTTTCTCCTACTCAGGTACGTTGAAAACACGACGTAGTGACGTTTTGACGCTTGGTACGTATCTGACGCGTGTCTGCTTGCGCTTGTGTAGGAAAATGTTGCTATACGTGGAAAGCTGAAGAAGTATGCAGTGCCTGACTGGGAAAAGCGCGTGTTGTTGCTGCTGCGAAAAGAGTTCACCCCGGCATCGTGTCCACAGTACTACCGGCTGAATGGCAACGAGAGTCTAGGAAGTAATTTGAAGCGAAAGGCGGTGGTCGAGTTTCCGGTCATCACAGTCACGTTTGTGACCGACGCCAATGAGTATCCTGTGGCTTACGATGTGATTGAGGCAATCGACTCGACCGCAGAAGGCCAGCGGTCGCATGAAGCACGGGAAGTTGAGAGCAATGGGCCAGACTGCAGGACTTGTCCAGAGTTGCCGATTACTGGCAACACAAGCAGTGTGGAGAATCCCATTTCGCGTGTCGAAGGGATTGGCAAGGAAGTAGAAGCACCTGATTAGTCCGAAGGTGTGCTCATCGAGGAGCTCCAAGTTGCTGCACGCTAGAGACGAATGGACGCTCGGTGAATAGAATCTGTTGTAGATTTTGCACGGATTGATTTGACGGTTTGCAGAGAAGACACTATGGTTGCTTATACTCATCTGAGCCCGGTAGGTGGATCATGACGATTTTGTGGTTAGTAGACCTTAAGCCATCGACGACGCTTACAACGGCGTAGTACTTGTGCACGGGCGTGTGGCGTCTCACATTGATCGACGACTTACATCAATACAATTTACAATAAGCCTTTTGGTGTTTAAGCGAACGCAAGCGTAGACAACGTGGCAGCAAACGCGTACGTCCTGCGTAACCCACGTGTATTCACATGGAACAACGTGTTGCTGGTCGCTTATTGTACTGCGTGGCAAAACATATGCGTTAACTAATTGCCACCGTATAAGCTAGGCGTATTGATTAGAACGTTAGACCATCATGGCTCGTTTTCGCAAAAAAGATACAGTTTGCGTTATTCAGCGTCGACACGCACTTTCTTTGCTGCTGCATGTGACAGCGCATTATTGAGTTCAGTCCGGAACATGCAACAACAAGCGCCGCATCGACTTCACTTGACGTAGAAAGCGACTTAACATCCGTTTCATGCACGCTACTCTCGGCACACAAGAGGTGCCATCTACTTGATCAACAAAGCGACTGTACATCCTTTCCATCGTTTCACAAACGGCGGCCGCAGCATCCCATTCGTTCTAGTCGTAGAACGCGTCATCGTACTCAATGTGGTCCTCCATCTTCTTGGCGGCTCCGTTCAAGGATCTCCACGGTATCTCCTGCGCTTTTGTGAGAACGATCGTCAGGGTGTCCTTGTCCGACTCCCACGTCACGTCCGTGATCTCCTGAAACAAGGTCTGGATCACAAGGCTCTTGGCTCGAGCACCACCAGATGCTTTGAGCAGACTCATCGACAGCGACATGTTGGTCCAATCCTAGCGACCCAAGCAATTGTATCAGCACACGTCGCAGCATCAATCCGACACCAATCAAGCATCACGTACCATCTTCAGATGCTCGTCCTTCATGTTCGTGACGACATCGTCCGTCAGGTAAATGCTACATCAACAAAAACCGCACCACATTATCAGTACCACAAAAACAAACATCACAACAGCCAGCAATCACTGCACCATTCACGACCCACCTGACGGTTTTCTTGCTATCACTCCAGCCATAAGAAGACACGGTCGCCTTGTCGTTGTTCGCTTCCAAGTGCTTGTGCACGTAAAAGTAGCTGTGCTCGCCCTTCTTGATCCGCTTCTCGTCCGGTCCAGACACCTCGTCATCCTTCTCTTCTCCTTCTTCCTCTTCTGCTTCATCTCCCTGTCCCTTCGCTTCCTCTCGAATCGACTCCATGTTGACGTTCTTTTTCTTCAGCGCCGCATTGACTCGTGCAGAGAACCGCCAGAGCATCACAGTCAGCACGACCACCGCAACGCTGAGCGCCAGCTGCTCCAGGAACCCCGTGTTGAGCTTCAGCTTTCCCCATGGCGTCACGAGACTCATGTCGCCCGTTACCGCGCGACGGACGTCGACAGACGGCACCGAGAAGGTCTCGCTCATGCCGCGAGTTCTTCGCGACTTGTGACGTGGCGACGATCATGTGTTACTGGATCGAAAAGGACGGTATTTTCAGCGAATCACGCGAGACCAGATGAGGCTCGTGTTAAATCCGAATGCACCGGCCAGCGCTCTCTGACCAGACGATCATACCAAACTCGACGGCGCTGCGACGACGCGGAGTCTGTTACGATGAAGCCGCTGTTTGGGAAGATCGTGTCGAACAAGATGCAAAAGTCCGTGCTCGTGGAGGTCGCCCGCATTGTCAAGGACCCCAAGTACGGCAAATACTACAAGAAGACCAAGAAGTTTATGGCGCACGACGAGGACAACACGTGCAACATGGGCGACTTTGTGCGTCTGTCACCAACGCGCCCGCTGTCGAAACGCAAGCGCTGGAACGTCGAGGAGATCACGCGCAAGGCCGAAGTGTAGATGCGGAGGCTGTAGTGAAGGCGGGCGCTGCATTGATTGGGCAGTTGGGGCTGTATTGCCTGCTCTTGGTAGCTGGGGCTTACAGATGCCAGGGAGCTGGCTACGCTGTGGAGCCGTGCAGATCATGACGGGGACGTAGCAGTGCACCTGGTAGCACGACGGAGAAAGAGACAGAGGGAGTGAGATACTGTCAAAGTAAGTTAGAGTTGATGCTGTTGTGGTGTTGCACGTGGTTCTGCTGTTTCGGACGCAGGTACTGATCCCACGCTGCTAGTCGGGCACCACCTTTTGCAGCACAAGTTATGATACGAGTATCCTAGTGACGGTCTCTACAGAGACACACCGAACGTTGAGCTTTGGATGCAGGCTACAGTTCGTCCTCGTCATCCGACAAGTCCGCAAACGGGTCGAGCACCGGGAAGTTGCCCACTGCCACGTTGTACGGTCGCACAAAGCCGCCGTACTTTTGCTCGCACCCGAAGTAGGTAGTGCCTTTGACAGAGCCATCGCCTTTGCCCACGGGTTCGTCGAATTGCACACCGACCCAAAAGCCAGGCGCGATCTCTGGCACTTCACCTAGATATTGCACCTGTCCACGACGTCCACCAGGCTGCACCTCGCACCGATCCTTGACCTTCATGTGTGCGACACTATCTGGTCCTGGCAGTGTTGCCGCGTCAACAATTGGCTGAGCGACCTTCATCATCGTCTTGGGTTTCCATGCAGGGTCCTTGGCAAGCTGCTCTCTCTTGTACGCTCGCACAGACTTCTCGCCTGATCGTAGCATAGCCAGCAGAGTGACCAACACAGCGTCAAAGAACAGTCGAAAGAGTCCACAGAGTATCTATCGGCCACAAGCCACTACACCGATGCAACAATACCGTACGTTTGTCATAGTCTTCCTCCGACATCTCGTACTTCTTGACGAGCGAGACGTCCTCGAGACCGCCTCCTCTCGACAGCGAGAACGGATCGTTGTCCACCACATGCAGCCGCATACCGCTCTCCACACTATAGAAGCCCAACATCCGCTGGTCATCGTCCAGACGAGCGTACACGGACCCGTCGCTACGCATGACAAGGAGCTCCATGGCGTCCGGTCTGGTGCCCGTGTGCTGGTACACCTTGTGCCGCAGCTCACCGATTGTGCCATGCAAGTCCAGTCGAATGTCCACCATCTGGAGCTCGAGGTTGCTGTGGGTGATGAGCAAGCAGACGATGCCGTCGGGCACGTTGTCGTACTGTCGCCCGTCCATGTCCGTCACGTACGCGCGCAGAGTGCGCAGGTCCTGCGCCATGATGGCTTGTCGTTCACTTTGACGTGCGGGGGCTGCATTCGTGTGCCACACGTAAAGCAGCGGCGTCCCTAAGTACGAATGTAGCCAAGTCGCTCGCGTGCAGCCATTTGACAAATGCCGCTGTGGTCGGTCCCAACGATCTCGGCGCTCGAGGTGGTCGACGTGCTGCTGATCGCAGTCGTCATTGCCTCGATGGACGTAGCGGTGGGTGTGTGGAAAGCACGACGTCTGCAGCTGTCGTCGAGCGAGACGAAGCTGCTGGCCGAGTACAATGCGCAGGTGCGACTCGTCAATCGCCTCAATTCGGTCGAGACGTTTGTGGCTCAAGCGAAAGCGACGCGTCGGATGAATGCGCTCAAGAAGGAGCTCCAAGCGCTTGCAGGTGCGGAGTGTATGCTATCGTTGTGGTCAGGTGCTACAGAGGGTGCAACGCTGTGCTGCTGCGTTGAGACTGACGAGTGCTGCATCGATGCGGGGGTCGTTGGACAGACAAGCGGCTGGCGGAGCATGCGCCGTCGGACCTGCAGAAGCTCTTTGACCGTGTTCGAACGGTGCGTTTGCCTGTCTTGTACCAAGAGCTCGTGCCGGATAGCAAGGGTGCGACTGACTGCTGGCGTACTCTATGCGAGCGTTAGCCAGTCCTGCTGGGACTGATGATGGTGTACTACTGGAACGAGCCGCTTGTGGTGCTACCACAAGGCTACATGCTTCCGATCGAGCGACTCGTGTCGTTCCCAGGTTTCCAGCTTGGCGCTGTGTCTGCCGTAGGCTGGGCAGGCATCTGTCGTCGCATCAGCGCAAAGATCCTGAGCTAGTCGCTGTTGCAACATGTGTACGGGCTTTTGCACCGGACGTCGGATACAGGAGCCTGTATGAGCTGAACACGAGGCGTCGCCGGTGGCGACCACTGACTACCTGAAGGAGGATCATAACCCCTGTAATGCTAGTAGACACCGCAACAGCTTCGTAACGGAGCAAACTAATCTGCAGTGTGCAAACGCGTCACATGCATGGCTGGCATGCACGCTCCATTACGCAAAGTTACTACTTGACCCGATACGCCGTACGCGACCCGTCGCGCGGCACAACGGAAGATGTGAGCGACAGCGTCTAGTAGTCCTCCTCGGCGCCAAACATGTCCATGCCTCCTCCCATGTCAACCTCTTCCTCCTCTTCGACAGGCTTCTCCTCCTTCTTGGCAGGAGCGGCTCCTCCCGAGGCAGCGCCCGCAGCAGGGGCAGCGCTCACCGACACGGTGGCGAGCTTGGCCTTGCCAGCCTTGATCACCTCCTCGACGTCCTTGCCTTCGAGCTCCTTCAGCAGCTTCTCGGCCTGCTCCTTGTCAAACTCGCCCCCGAACGACTTGACGACCTTCTCGAGGTCCGACACAGACGGGGTAGCGTTTCCGCCGAGCACACACAACAGCAAAGCAGCAACGTGACGCATCTGTACAGCAAAAGAAGCGGTGTCTCGGTCAGTTCATTGTTCATCGTTTACGTCAGGAGTCCCGCAATCCAAGGACTGAAGGATTCGCACCTTGTTTAAGGTGAGGAGGAGGTTTGCTGGCAAATACCCGACGACGTCTTGAGCGCTACAATGCTTTTGACCCTGAGACTGTCCGAAGGTCAGCGATAGCCAATCGCTCTACGGACCATACAAACGCAGGGCGATTACATCTCCACCAATCAGAGCACGCATCCTGTCGATCTCGATCAGCGCATTGGACAGGAGTCAAGTCCCGATCGCGACGATGTTGTTGCGCAACGTTTGACAAGTGCGACTTGTAACACTTCTTGCAGCACTTCTCTTAGTACTTCTCATAGTACTTATTGTAGTGTTTTGTGCTGGCACTTCATCGAGTACCTCTTGCAGTACTTCTGCTACTACTTCCCGTCACAGCTTTGTAGCGGTTGCACGGAAGATACTGTGGACCTGAAGCAGTGCAATGGCAAATGCGTCTCAGCCGGTGATCGCGTTTGTCGTCACCATTCTTACCTGACGTGCGCATGAGGACGGGCATGAGATGATGTACCGCAGTGTTCATCAAATGGCTGAAATGACACGAAGCCTACAAGCAAAAGGGTTGCAGCGACAGGGAATTCGGTCGTATGCAGAGGGAAAGGAGTGCGTCTCCATCTGCTGCCCCACTAGTCCTCTAGGGATTCTGACTCGGTACAATGTAACAATAACTTGTCAAAGAAATTGTTATACCGTCCGATGAACTGCACGTCAATGAGTGAGTGAGCGTCATTGAGGCACTTCACGGATTTACAATTGGCTACTGCACGTCAATGGGGGCAGTATAGATGTGAGGATCAAACGGGCAGGAGCACTCACAAGCTCACGCGGTCGTAGATCGATCTTAAGCAAACAGCACTGGACTACAAGGACAGTTGCTGCAACGAACGTATGTGGCCAACAGGTACCCCAGCATATCAAACCGTGAAACGGTGACTTGTAAAGAGGGACTGCTGCAATGTCGATAGTCTTTCATCCCCATGGGCATGCTCAACTAATGTTACCTGTGGCATGGCTTTGTCAAGTTCAGAACTTCTCCATGACCTTCAGGTCATGGACTGTAGTTGCACACGTACCAGAACCGTTCCGACAAGGAGCTGGAAACGGTATCAGTTTTACAAGATCAATCGCTTATATCTTGACGTGTTCTTCAAGTCGACTGTGGCTGACTTGACGATCGCTTGAAGAGATCCACAGCAGCATCGCGGAAGGGTTGGAGCCTTGAGCTAGCGATTGCCGTAAGAAAAGGCTGGACAATCTTGCAGCTTACTGTTGTCGTGGTCATGCAGTCAAAGTCGCTCTGGTGCTTGAGGATCCGACGAAAAAGAACTCGAGTGACGGGTCAGCTGAAGCAGATCGAGAGAAGACCTGTTCATTGTTTAATTACATACCAAGTGTTCTAGTTGAAGGCCTCCGCGAGCTTCTGATGCTGAAGCGAGAACGCGCTCACTAGCCCAAAAACGACTGGGAGAGGCTCAAAACAAGAACCTCGGTATTGCTGCAACGCCATCAACCGCTTGTGACAGCTCGACATGCTTGGCCGGAATGCCCTGATCGGGTGCGGCTCAATGTCACCCACTTTTCGTGGATGAGCTAAGACTAGAGTCAGTGACTCGTTGTACTGGAAAGTGGAGCAGACAAGATGGGGTCACTCTCGTCTGCAGATCCCAGCAATGTAAACTTGTTGACGACCGTTGTCCATCAACTGGCCGAGTTTGTCTCATCATCGATGGAAAACCCGTAGGACGTTTCGTAGAAAGTGCTGCACTCGGGTTCCGACGCAGCGATGGCAAACATAATTGAATCGTCTGGGGATAGCAAGAGCGTGAGAAAGACGACGGTGTGCGTGTGCTGTTGTCGCCATGACTCGAATGCATCAGAATAAGAAGCCGAAGCCGTCTCCTGCAGCTGCGTCGGCATACCACCACATCGACACAAGCGAGTGGCCGGCATTTCCAGTCTCCACGATTATCAGTTCCGTGTGTCGTGTTCGTCTCCACGGACAAAGCGAGGGCGATGATGTTCTTCGACTCATTGATTCCTTCTTGACCACACCGTTCGATTCACTCACGTTGTTGAAAGCGTACCAGCGCTCGGGCGGCAGTCTGCGTTTGCTTCAGTACTTGGCAGTCCGTGAATTAAGAATAGAGAATCCGTCTCGCCATCTCTGGGAAGTCAACGTTGTCACTCGTCAAATGGCAGCCCGTGGCGACTTGCAAAGTCTGAAGTGGATCATTAAGACCTTGTTGCCGGGCGACTTTGTCATGACAGATATTGTCTATCAAGTCTCTGCCAATGGTCACATCTGCGTGCTACAATGGCTCTGGGAAAACCATCGTGACATGGGCCATTGGGGTGGCGACGAGTTGTGCGGAGCGATCAGCAATCGGCATTCAACGGTCGTAGAGTGGCTCAAAACTCGCGTCGTGGTTCGGCCGGAATTTGCTCATTGCATTGTCCAGGAAGCAGTAGCGTCCGGAAATTTGGAGATTGTACAGTGGCTGCACGAGAGGTTTCGCGTAGCTCTTGTTGATGCAGTGAAGACCGCAGCACGACGCGGCGAGTGGACAATCGTGCGATGGATTTTGGACAATGGCAAGCCTGCGGATCGGAAGGCTGCACTAAGTTGCGATGCTCTCTATGCAAGTGCAGCAAGGGTTGGCAACATCGATATGCTTCAGCTCCTCTTTGACCGTGGCCTTCCACGAAAGCCTGTGTTCGTCCTTGAAAGTGCAATCTTAGGTGGTCACTTGCACGCTGTCAAATGGCTGCACGAAGAGAAGGGGATCACAAACGTAGTTGCTGGGTACGTCAGGGCTGCCAGAAGGGGTCAGCTGGACATGTTAACGTACCTGTTCGAGAACAAAGTGATTGCGACTCCGTACCTGTTTCCGATCGATGCTGCGGCTGCAGCGGGACATCTTGAAGTTGTGCAGTGGCTACACCGGCACACCGAAACCAAGTGCACGGAACTAGCTATGGCCGAAGCTGCGGGTAAGGGGTACCTGCATATAGTCCAGTGGCTCCATGCAAACCGCTCGGAAGGATGTAGCCACCTTGCAATGGACTGCGCTGCTAGATACGGCCATCTTGATGTAGTCAAGTGGCTCTACGCAAACAGCACGGAAGGATGTAGTCGCATTGCAATGGAAGATTCAGCGTGGTATGGAAATTCCGACGTAGTCAAGCAGCTGAGAAATGACGAGAAGACGTGATCGTGCCGGAAGGAGAATGGACCGTGCCGCTTGTTTGTAACCATTTGAGAGTTCAGGTGCTGGCGTTCCTTACGTTCGTAACCATCGCGCGATTAGCCGGTGCAAGATTTGCGCTCTGTCCGCACGTCACGCAGCGGAGATCATTCACAGATAGACAAAGTACAGTCAGAGTGAAGTACTGACATGGCTTTTCGACATGACATGGAAGATTACAACGCAGCACTGATCCTTTGCGCGCGAGAAATGAATGTCGAGCACTCGACTTGTGTCGCCAAACGACGTTTCGTCACACCCTCATGCTCCTTCCAGCAAAACCGACTGCAGCTGAGGACTACGCTACGTTCGATCTCTTGACCACTCTGTACGAAGTTGCCACACACAAGCAAGTAGCAATGGCGAGACAGTCAGTCCTGGTACAAGACATATACATGTACCCCCCCAAGCATCACTTACACATAGCAACAAAACTGCAACGACATGAGTGATCACATGAAAGCTGCAGCGCGTGACACACTGGACGTTTTCCCTCCTGACCGTGTCGCTCTACGGCGAAGTCCGCACGAGCGCCTTCTCTACCTGCGGTCTCCCTGTCGCACCAGCAGTAGCTGCCGAATCGCTGTGGAGCTTGGAGATGGCAATGACGCTCGACCAATTGTCAAGCACCCGCAGCGAGACTACAGCAATACGACAACAACACGGCACGCGCTTAGTTTGCACAGGTGATCCTATCAGAGATACGACCGCTTCGTGTCCACTGTACTCGTGTCGGCAGTTCGACAAGACGACGAGTCTCTTGACGGCAGTGTCGTCTACGCACACACAAAGGGACACAAAAGCACACACAGAAGCACACAGACACACGCACGTTCGTTCTGGTGGTTCATCTGCAGCATCTTTTCGTTTATGCTGTCCAAGTACCGCACGAGTTCGGCCGACGAGTCCCGCAGCGCTTCGAGCGCCGCAACTTCTTCGTTCTTGTTGGCTGTCATATTTAATATTGACGAGACATCATATTTAATATGACAGCGCGGGTCGCACTTAGCGAGGACTGCACCCCGCAGCGTCGACGCAACGACTGGCGCGAGATCGCACTCTCGATGTTCATTGGCTAAAATAAGCTGCTCGGGCCGTCACGAACGCCCAGTTGTGTCCTCCCCCGTGCATGCTGCTCGAGTCGTGCGTCGGCACCAAGAAGAAGCGCAAGCTCAGCACGCTGGACGACACAATCATCAGCAACATGTGGTCCGACACACGGGAAGCCACGCTGCCTACCAGCAGCGCGTCGGTCGTCTCGGGTCGCTCGCTGTCGCCGTCGCTCGTGATCGCTGGGCGTCGTCACGGCCGCGCGCTTGTGCTGCTCGTTGTTCTCGTGATTCTTGCGTACGTGTCGCTGTCCAGGTCGTTCATTGGTCGAAACAGCAGCAGCAGCAGCAGTGTGGACGTGCGCAATGCCGAGTGGGCACCCGACAACAGGGGCTCGAGCAAGACCGAGTGGCAGCGGGCGTCGATGGAGGGCAAAAGTCGACACAATATAAGGCACAGCTCGACCCTCGCGCTGCCGACCAAGCCCGACTCGTTTGGCATTGTGCTAGTGGCTGATCTGGATCAGCAGTCAAAAGACGGAGGCAGTAAGAAGCCGCAGTTCATGTCGTACATTCTGCACGCGACGCTCAAGGTCACGCCCAGCAGCTCCAGTTCGTACGAGAAACGCGACACGTACGCAGTGTCGTTTGGCGACGAGACGAAGTTTACCACGAGCCTGAACGAAGGGGGGCGAGGCTTTGAGCTGAGCGAACTCGCGTGGTTCAATGGCAAATTGCTCGCGTTTGACGATCGCACGGGTGTTGTCTTTCGCTTGCAGCACTTTGAAGGAGTGAGCAAAGCGAAACCGTTGCAAGCTATTCCAGAGCACATTGTCATGGAAGGAGATGGTGTGGCTGGTAAGGGGCAAAAGCACGAGTGGGCCACGGTCAAGGACGACGAGCTGTACATGGGCAGCGTCGGCAAGGAGTTTACGGACAATCGAGGCAATATTGTGGGAGACAGCAATATGTGGGTCGCTGTTATGGACCGCGCTGGTGACGTTCGCCACGAAGACTGGACAGCAAACTTTGCGGCTGTGCGCACGGCTATGGGCTGTGACTGGCCAGGGTATGTGGTGCACGAAGCGATCGAGTGGAGTCCCGCTCGTCGTCAATGGTTTATTTTACCTCGCCGTGTGAGCACGCAGATGTACAATAGTAAGGAAGATGAGAAGCGTGGCTCTAACAAGGTTGTCATTGCGAGCGAAGATTTCAGCAGCATTCAGGTGCGCGAAGTCGGCAGGGTTACGCCACTGCGTGGATTCTCTTCGTTTAAGTTTGTCCCGCGATCCGACGATTCGGTGATTGTGGCTGTAAAGAGTGTCGAGGTGGAGGATGAACAGCGGCAGACCTCTTTTATCACGGTGTTTGACTTGGAAGGAAACGTGCTGTTGGATGAGACGGAAATTCCGGGTGCTAAGAAGTATGAGGGTGTCGCATTTGCACACGACTGGTCTTGAAGACGACGCTTGGCCACGTTGTAGGTGGACTTGCCCGCGAGAGTCGGGACCCGTAGCTTGCGCTTCCGAGGTAGAACAGTGACCAGTGCAAGCTATTTACATGTAGATACCGACCACTCTTTGAGCGTCGGAGGTTTGTATGCTCCGAGCAGCTGTCAGCCCGCAAAAGTGCGCAGATGGGTAACGTACACTTGCGCTCGCTTCCCCATTCAATGAACAGTCAGGAATGAAGCCGTCGTTGTCTTTTTGTGGGCAGCAGCGTATGCGTGTGGTATATTTCGCTTGATAAAGATGAGAAGAAATCGTGTTGTTCGCAGATGATGTCGACAAGTGTGGCACTGTCAACCTGGGTCTGTGTGACGGATTTAGCGCCGATCGTCTGCGAACAAAGCGCGTCTCTGTATGCCGACAAGCACGTGTAGTAGAAGCGCAGCAATTTGGGGTCGCTGTGACGTCACTACAAAGCTGTTTGTTCCTGCATCTCGACGAAGTGGTGCGTCAATACGGTCGCAGTGTCCAGTATTTGGATTAATTTGTACAGTGCCGGTAAGCAAGCCAAGTCTTGTTGACTCGATAAGGTCCGCATCGAACGGACTCGTCATGACAATCGCTTTGTAGGCGCCGTACGTTGATGTTGACATCAACTGTGGCACAGTATCCACTAACGATCGCGTGTCTGAAACGCAACAGTATAGGACTGCCGCATATCAGCACAAGTGACTCGCGAGTTTTAAGTGCCGCCCATTGCGATTCCAATAGCGTGATGATCTTCTTGACGGCGTGATGTGGGCCACTGCAGGCGAAAAGTGCGCGCAAGTCTGACTGCACGATGTTATCTCGCTTTCGTGTATTTGTGCTATATTTTTGTGCTGCATAGCTTCACCATGTGGATCGGGCTACATCCAAGTGCCGTGAGTGACTCGTACGGCAAAGATACACGTTTTGCGCTACCTACTTGCGATCACCCAAGCGAATCGCCACCGTAACCTTCGCTTTTACCAGCCACAAAGTCACGCTTGCCCGCACCAATTTTCCGCACCTGCGAATCCACTTTCGGACAGTCGGTGATACGGTGACCCAGACCACCGCAGAATGCACAGCCTTTGGTGCCAGTGGCATTCGACAGTCCATCGCCCCTGCGCTCCAGCTCCTCGTACGGATCCTCCAACGCCATGAGTACTGGTGGCACCGTCTGCTTCGCCTCGACGAGTAGATGCTTGAGATCGAGAAGCGCACTCTCCGGTACACTTTTGTTAATGAACGTCGTAGCGACTCCGGTCTTACCACAGCGACCTGTACGACCAATTCGATGCACGTAGTTTTCGATTTCGGCTGGCATATCGAAGTTGATAACGTGCTTGATGTCTGGAAAGTCAAGACCCTTCGCGGCGACGTCCGTGGCAACCAACACGTCCTTTTGCCCACTCTTGAACAGATCAATGGCTTCATTCCGCTCTTCCTGATCCTTGCCACCGTGAATCGAGGCCGCTTCGACGCCTTTCAAGATGAGATACTCGTAGATGTCGTCAACGTCGCCTTTGCGTTCACAGAAAATAACGACCGGAGGGCTGGTTTTTTGCAAGCACTCGAGCAAGTAGACGATCTTGGCGTCTTGCTTCACGTACTCAACTTCCTGGATCACATCCAAATTTGCGGCACCGGCACGACCGACGTTGACTACAATAGGTTTGACCAGCACATCTTTGGCAAAATCCTGGAACTTTTGCGGCATCGTAGCAGAGAAGAGCAACGTTTGCCTTTGACTTGTGAAGTGGTTAAAAGTCGTAGCAACCTCCTCGTCAAACCCCAGGTCCAGCATGCGATCACCTTCGTCCAAGCAAATGTATTTGCACAAGCGCAAATTCATCTCGCCCAGCTTCAAAAAGTGGTTCAATCGACCTGGAGTAGCTACCACAATATGCACGCCACGACTGGCAATCAAGTCTGATTGCTGTCGCTTGTCTTCTCCGCCAATGCAGAGTAGACTGCGAAGCTCGGGGTATCCTGCCTTGAACAAGTGGGCTGTAAAGTGCTTTACCACATCAAACGTCTGCCTCATGAGTTCGCGGGATGGGCCTACAATCAGTCCGAACGGACCTTCACGACCAACAATCGGCATTTTCGTCTCCTCTTCGAGCGCCAGCATCACCAACGGCAGCGTGAACGTCACAGTTTTCCCAGAACCAGTGAACGCAATACCAATCATGTCGCGTCCTGCGAGAATGCACGGCATAGCTTGCACTTGAATTGGCGTCGGCCGCAGGATCTTTTTGGCCTTGAGCGCGTCAAGGATTGCACGCGGAAACCGCATGTACTCGAAAGACTTGATGGGCGGTGGCACGTTTTCGCCTTGAACCAGGATGTGCCACTTATTCCGCACCGCGTCACACTCGTCTTGGGTCATGTCCCGCACACATCGTGGCGGTTGCCACGTCGTGTGCATCGTCTCGTTGTAGTGGATCCCCTCGGCCCGCTCATGAGCCGACACGAGCGCTGCTTTCTGCACGTAACTCGCTTCCTTGAGCATATGAACCTCCTCGGCGTCCTGCTGGACCTTTTGCTGGTTCACGCCCTGCTCCTCCATGCGCTTACGCATCTCATACGCCTGATCCAGCAGACTCACGCTCGATCGTTCTTGTTGGTGCTGATGCTGCCTATATTCGATTATCGAAATAGGAGACAGCGCTTCGGCTGCCTTTGACTCGCTTGAGGTCGACGTTGTCAGTGTCGACAGCAATGTGGTCTTTTGTTTCTTGGGCTGCAGCTCGTCCGAGTCGCTTGCGCTCTCTGAGTCACTGCGTTCGTGCTGCAGACGCTGATGGAGGACCGTACGACGTTGTTGCAGCCGCTCGTGCTCGCGCTGGCGCCGTACCTTCAGCGGTACGTACAGCTGCGCGTCCGTCTCGAGCGTCATGGTGCGATGCAGGGGCGTGCGTGAAAATGACAGTAGAATGCCAAAAGTGACGATAGCGACGACAGCAAACATTCCGACGAAGAAGGGAGACACGCACATTGGTCAGAAAAGACACGAGCCTCGTGACAATCATGACCATGATTATCATATTGATAAAAATGACTATTGAGAGGAAAGCTATCACTATCTAGAGTCTAGACACGACTATTGGGGATAATACGCGAAATTCAATGACTCGTCGGAGCCTGACGATTCCTATCCTCGTTCGGATTATTCCCCGTCCCGACCTGCCCACTTTTGTGTAATAATCGCGTCAACCCATGACCCGCGTCCGCGCGTGGACGCGCCCGGCCGAGTTCCTCGTATACGTCGTGCCCGTGGGCGACGACGTGCCGCCGCCGGAGCTGGCGTCGTACATGCGTCTCTTACAGAGGCATTGCGTGCTCCCGCTGCGCAGCCTCACGCGCCCCGGGGGCTACGCCGCCGAGCTCTCGCCGTTCCGCGGCTTGTCATGGACTGGCTCGGGGTCGCTGCGCTTTCGCTTCGTGTCAGTCGCGGCGGAACGCATTGACATGTGCAATGGAGAGGACGTGCACGCGAGTCACCGTGTCATGGGCGTGCTGGGGCTGTGCCACTGCCCGTCGCTGGCCCAAAGCACGGGGCTCCAGGCCGCGTACGTGCAGTTCCAAGCATCCGTGCGACGGTTTCCCGCGCTACTTGTGCACAAACTCTTTGCGTTCGAGCACACTTTCGAAGACCTGCGGGCCGTGCAAGAGTACGAACGGCTGGACGACCTCGTGATGTTCCCAATGGACCACGAACTGCAAGGCACGGGCGAGTCCACCGTGAGTCTGCACTTGCAGGTTGTGATGAACACACTCGCGGTGCACATCGTCATGTCGCTCGAGAGCGCGATTCGATCGGTAACGTCGTCGTTGGCAGTGGCCAGCAACTTGACGTTGACGACAGATTTGGATTCAGCAGGCCGAGAAGATCTTGCTAGTGTTTTGTTGGACGTCCGCGTTGAGCCACAAGTGACACACGACGCTCAGTGTTCTCCACTGGTGCTGTCTAGAGATGAACGAAACGAGGGTGACTCGTTTCACGCAGTTTCGACTTCGGACACTCGCTTGTCGGGATCATTGTTTTCGTCTCCTTCCGCTCTATCACCGCTGGGCGCTGGCACGGCGGCGTTGAAGCCGACGCGCTATACTTCACGACGAAAGCGACAGGATGCTCGTAGAGAAAAGCTTTTGGGGGATTACAATGTCCTGGTGAGCTGCATCTCGGGTGCAATGCACCACTATGTAATAGCGATCGAGATGCTGCGCGAAGAAGAGCGGCACAGTGGTGGTTCTCCGGGAGATGCTTTGTGGCTTGCCGCTGCGCTGGAGGGATACGTATATTGCTTGTACACTGAATCACAGGACAAGTTCTCTGCTGAACTTGTGGAGAAAGCATCAGAGGCCGTTGCATTTTACGCAAACGCAGGCACGACTGAGCTTGAGAGTCTGTTTATTGAGAATCTTGGGTGGTACTACACAAGTGTGGCTATGTCAACCAGCATGTCAATGACAGGGGAAGCAAAAATGCTCGAAAGTGTGTGGGTAAAGCGTTTGCTCTGGGACGTGTTGGAAAGAGGGATGTCATTGTTTCCAGACTTGCAGTCCCAGCGCCAAGTCGAGTTTTTAATACAAACGAGTCGCATGCTGGAGACAGCGGGCCATCATCGACGTGTCGCGCTCTTTCTCCACGAAGCTGCATCTCTTTTGCTAGCCCGCAACGCAGACGCGCAATCGCTTTCACCTACCAGCGCGACAAAAAGACCGCAGTGGCGTAGAGACTTAGAGGCTGCTCTCGTTTTGGAACGAATGGCAGCGGAGCAGTTGGGCGTTCAGGATTTGGGTATCCGAAAAGGCGAGTTTCTGCCATGGGAATTCACGTCACAGTATCGGAAGAAGTGGAAGAAAAGCATGTCTGCAACAGATGGATCGACGAATATTCCAGACAACGCATGGCTGGTCATTCGTTTCCACGTGCTTCGGCAACTCTTGACCATCGCAAAGATGTTGGGCAACGCACTTCTTGTCGGAACATATTGCCTCCAGCTGTTAGAAATGCTAGTGTGGTGCGATTCTATCGCTCTACCGCCAAATGTAGACTCCGGGTCATCACCAGGTGCAAGTGAAACACCCGCGTCCTGTGCAGTGTTGCTCGTTGACGCTGTCCAGCAACCCGCTGCTTCGCTTCGTAATCGACGTCAAGTCGTGGAACGGGTTACAGCTGACCTTCACTCCAAAAGCGGCCTTTTAGCTTTTCCACCTCCAGATATCGACTGCAGGATCAAACGCGACTTCTTGCGATCCCCCTCTACAACCTTATCGAATGCAGCGGCGTCTATATCGCTGACGCTGTCCAACACACCGCGACTTTTGACAGCACCACGACTGCAGTTTTCAGCCGCTGTGAATGCAATGTCTACGAGAGCATCTCCAAGTTTTATGCCATTTTCTCACGCGTATCATCAGCACAATGGAGCTATGCCAGACCGTTCGGATGATGCAGAATATTGCTCGCTGACTGCAACGGGTTCGGGTCAGATGGGACTTGGCGACGTCAGTGAGGACGGCGAGGGTCGATCTAAAGGTTTTCGACCACCATGTGCTACTGATGGTGAGCCGGATGACAAACGTTTACGTGATGCACTGACCGAGCCTACCTCTGCGTGGGATCTGCGGTCAAAGTCTCATATTGTCAAAATGCAACAGAAACTGCTAAACATGCTTGAGTCTGATTTCGCCGTGCTGCGAACTGGTGAACAGATGCGGCTGCCCACTTTCTTGCAAGTAGACAGGATGAAGTTGTGCGCGAGCTATAATGTGCATGACCCTTTTCTTTCTCGAGCGACTGCCCTTCGAATATTTGGAATGCAGTCTGCACCTAGCCAGCAAGCCGTAAAGCCAGATTTTATCTACTCACCATTTGAGAAGCAAAAGGTGCGAGGGTCAGATCAGCGCGAATGCAGCAGTGAAAACGACGCCGGTAGTGCCATGTTGGATATATGTGAAACGGGGTTTTCGGTCAACGATCGGATCGAGCTGCGATTGACCGTTTCCAATCCAACGGGTGTTCATGTCAAGCTCCAGGAAATCAGAGCTTGGGTTGCGTCTGTGAGAAAAACTGACGAAGCTGCTGAAGAGGACGGCACCACAAACATAACTACAGATGATGGTAGTTTTGAGTGCTGCGCTTGTCCGTTCACGCTGGGACCGTATGAAAAGCACAAATCTGTTGTGCTGGGAATTCAGCCGTCGAGCGCGGGCATCTTTCACGTTCGCGGTTGCTTCATTAAGGCGTTGAATGTCACGACGTCATTTGAGCTCGAAACTCCCGTCCGTGTCCGAGTTGTGGGCGAGTTACCTATGGTATCGCTTTCTCTTGATGGACATGGCTCGATGACGCTGGCGAACGATGGAGAGACCGCATCATTGAAAAAACTGGCTGCAGCCAAGATGCGGCTTGCAATGTTTTTGTCCGAAACAAGGCAATGCATGATCCGTATACACAGCACTGGGAATCGCCAGATTACAAACTGCAGGCTAGCATTTACCGTTCAGCATCGACATGCAGCCACAACAACACGTGTGGTTTTCAACAACTTGCCAGCGAAAGGCGATTGTGTGCATCAAGTCCCATATGCGTCAGATAGAATCACCAGTGAAACGAAAGTTGCAGAGCTTGATGATGGAGAGGTAAGGACGCAAGCTGTATCGTTGAGGTGCGGGAAAGTAGTATTGCCCCCACTTCCGCTTGCAAGAGGCGATTGTGTGAGCGTTCCCTTTCAGTTGTCGTTGCGTCGAGTTCATACTCACGGCGAGTCAGTGGAGGATTGTGTACGGATCGAATGGAGCTTTGTCTATGCTGACGAGGCATGCCTCGGTGCGTCCGATGACGAACACATCGCAGAGGCTGTCTTTTATCGAGAAAGCAAACTAGCGTTCGAAATCATGCCTCTTCCGTCTCTGACGCTTCAGTCTGTGACGTTGCTCTCGTGCTGCGTGGAGCAGTTTCCGAGCAGCTGCCGATCGTTCAGAGACAATGTAGACACAGGAGCTGCTGTGAAATGTTTACCAGGAATGGCGACATCAGACCATTTGTATTGCATGGCCATCGTGCACGTCGTCAATCAGACGGAAACAACATTTCGATTGCGATTGCGGTGCGCTATTAACGGCAGTGATGACATCACTTGCGAGGCAAAGATTGTTCGCCAGTGCTCTCGTCAGCTCGCAATCGAAGTTCCCCGGCTGCAGTCTTCACCCTTGTGTGAAAAGCCATTCAACTTGGCCGGGATGCTGAACGATCTGCTGGAAATAGAGTGGGAAACATGTTCTGGCATCCGAGGACGACTGCTCTGTGAGGACCACCTCGTGGGACCGGCTACTGAGCACGGTCGACTCGAGCTTTTTTTACCGCCCATCAGTTTCCAGATTCAGTCCCCGGACAACGGCTTCGTGGTGGCCAGCACCGAAAACGAAGGTGGAGGAAGGAGTGTACCGAAGGACAAAGACGAAAGTGGCACCTCGCTCAACCCGTCGTGTTTTTTTCAGGTGCCGAATTTACGAAGTCAGCTGCGGACATTACAAACGGGGCTGTTCACGTATGTTCCAATAGTTATTTCACTTCAGAGGACAGGCGAGATCGACGGCCAAGAGCAGGCAGCACTTTGTGTGGAGGTGGAGGTGGTGATAACAGAAGAAGTAGATAAGGCTGTTCGCGAGATGAGCGACCACGTGATGGCTGTGGGACAACTAAAATCGCTCGTCCGATGGGACAGCGGGATCGATAGACGTCCAAGACTGTGCGAGATCCAGTGTATGTTCTTGTCGGAAGGCAATTTTCGCGTTGCTGTCTGTGGTCGGGTCGCTGGCCTCGACAAGAAGCAGGCCGGTGGTGAGACTTGGTGCCACCAACCTTTATATATATGCGTTCGATCGGAAAACGATATCGTCGCGGAAACAACTGCGCGAACTATTTAAGCTGGCAACTCGAGTGTCATGAACCGGTATCGTGTTTGTGCTTATTCAATGACCAGGACTTGTGTTGCCAAGTTTTTTTGGGCCGCCTTCGTCTTCCTGTCTGAGGGAGGTCAACATTCACGCGAGCAACATTGATCGAGCTTCGTGGTTGGTATTTATAAAATCCTGCGTCAGCGCAGGTAGAAAGTCTTGTTCGGTAGTACATGACGATGCTACTATGAGCAAGTACATGCAAACGTGTACTCCGATGGGACGCGCTCAAGCCAAAATGACGCAACTCGAAGAAGAGCAGCCAAATGCCAACAAAGTCGTACCTCCTACGAAAAGAGGTCAGACGCGTCTTGTATCGAGCTTGTTCGTTTTGGATATGCCAACATTGCAGGCTGAAGTCTGACTGAGGGCACAAGTAGACTATGCAGGTGATCGATAGGTCGTTTTCAGCCACCATGAGCGCTGTTCGCTCGAATCAAAACGCACAAGCTGCAGAAGACAGTATGTCGCAGTCTTGCACAGAACGTCAAGATACGATGACGTGCCCGATCAATGCACAGTGCTCGCTTCGACTTATCGTGGGCCATGTCAAATACATGTTTCTAGTCTGACGAGCTACTGTTGCAACTCAAATGACGGACGGCGTACAGTCCTTTGGCGTCAAATAATCAGACGTGATACCGGTCCATGACATTACTTTCCGTCTCCGCGTCAGTGATAACGGCACAACATCAGCAGCAACATCACGACGTGACTCATCGCACACTTCATGTACGTTGAAGTCAACTGTCCGTCAAGTGCGAAGTATCACGCCATCGTGAATGAGCGGCAGTCGATGATGTCGGTCCAACAGTGTCACACGCATGTCTCTCGTTGCAAGCTGGGCTACTTGTGGTCCTGTATGGACTGTCATTGTCTTTTTCGCAAGCACAGAGGTGATAGCACAATGTGACTTACTCACTGAAAAAGTCGATCAATAGATGTCGACGTTCCATCGCTACAGACTCTGAAGACTCATGAGGTACAGCTGCATCTCTAGAATAGTAACGCTTGTTCCATTACAAGCGATCTAGCCAACCTCGATACCGCTCACAGCGCGAGCCAACGTGGAGATTCGGTAGAAGCAAAATCCTTCGTTTGCGTCCGAGTAGTTGATTCGTTTTGCATATCCACGTGTCGATGCTGCATGCGATGTGCATATGTAAGGTGGACAGCTCGTGTGCAGCCATTTTGTGACATGCGGACGGCACACGACAACAAACGTGGAGAGCTGCAGCACAATTAGTGCGTGAGTTGATAGAATCCTTCTCGCCAGATAGTCATGAGCGTGCACTTTGATGCAGAATGTTCCCGTGCTCGACGCAACTATCGTGTTTATACAGGTCCAGGCTATAACGCACTTGGCGAAACTGATCAAATAGCAGGCGCACACGGAGCTTCTTGCAGCGACATCTTTCGCTCAATGCACGATATCCGATTCGACTCATCTCTCACGAAATGCCTGTGGCGACACTTCCTTTTTCATCCACTTCATCTGGTGCAGTGGCCAAATCTATGCGCAGCACCAGTCATCCATCCAGAGCCACTCGCCACACACCGTCAGTCTTCACAACCCTCGCTCTTTCTCACACCAAGCAGCACAGGGACACGACTGCCCTTTCTTCCTTACCCTCATCACCACTCGTCCTTGCACGAGTGCACACGGCACTGGACCGTAGTACCGCGAGTCGTGCGAGTCGCGTTTATTGTCCCCTTCGAGCCAGACGTGACCCTTGGGAATCTGCAAAGGTACATCAGAAGATAACAGACCAAAGCAAAGCAAAACAAAAGGGGCACGTCACACAACACTTTCTTCATCGACAGCTGCAACTACGTCCTCAAAAGAAGACTCGCAGCAACAAAACTCGTCTTCTTCTTCTTCTTCTGCTATGGTTCGTCCAGACCTTGTGGAACTCCACCTCGCTCGACGTCGATCGGGGCCGCACGCACACAGTGTCTCCTTCCTGCGCAATGATCCGCTTGCACACTGTCTGGCGCGGATTGGACACGGACTTGGCAATCACGACGTCCCCTGGCTCGAGTGTCCAGAGTCGTGGCGTCAACTTGTCCAGCAACACAATGTCGCCGTCTCGATTGAGCGTGGGTAACATGGACGGGCCGACGCACTTGATCGGGTCAGCTACTTGCAGGAGACAGAACGCGACGCCGCCAAAGCGCGCGAAGCACGAGAGCACGAGACGCAGTTCCTGGGCCACTGTCATCGAAGATCGATAGACAGGCGACTGACTGACGGCAAGCGGATGTGCACTTGACTGGACGAACGCACGCGAGGGACAAAAGCAGAAGGAAGAAGTAGAAGCTTAACAAAACACGGTACGCTTTTTACGTGTTGATGTGCTCATCAGTGTGGTTAGTCGATTGTTTTCAAAATACGCGATGATGAGAATAAGAATGTAGGATGTAGGACGAGGAGGAGGATGTGTTGTTGTTAGGACAAGAGTATATTGTTGACGATAGAGGGGTTGAGGTCAGGCCTGATAACATTGTCGAAAATCTAAAATAGGGTCGGACATCATCAACTAAGATTTTTCTGGTCCATAAACTAAGACCTTTACAAATTACCGTAAAACTACGCAAGATCGTGTTTTTGCGCAGCCAAAGCGATCCCATGGCGCCCAAGACGACGCCGTTCCAGGAGAAGCATGCGCTGGAGTTCGGACTCGAGCTCATCAAGATGGGAAAGGGCGGCGTGCAAACTGTGCGATGCCTGTTCTGCATCTATAACAGGCGTGACAAGGTTGAGGTTGGAAGCTCAACTGATCGCAAGCGAAAGTCGCGCGTTGACATCAAATACTACACGAAAGCGTTCGCGCCGTCACAATACGATGCAGCATGGCAAGACCAATGCAGAGTACAGCGAGCTGTGTAACGCAGAGAAGCGCGAATACATTACTGGGAAGACGAAGATCGTGAACACGTTGCATCATTACCTCGACGTTGAAGACGACACTATGGAATTCAATGTTTCGCCGCCAATCGTCGATACCATCATCGGCAACATGTTCTTAAGGAACGACGGAATGCTGGACAATGCCGAAGACGACGATAAAGACGACCTCGTAGCGTCTGACGCAGCAAAGGCAGTAGCCAAGAAAATCGCGAAGAAGTCCAGCGAAAAGGCGCATGCGATGAAGCTGTAAATTAAGGACTCGTAGACTGAGAAATACGTCATCACTATCAAGAATGTGGTGCGTTACGAAGTCGCATTGGGCCATGTGAGAAGCGGCATAACATTCGGGCAGGCGGCTATAGAAATCGAACATGCCAAGCGACGTACGCAAACGCCGAAGCTCGCAGGCATTAAAAGTTTGATGGCGGCCACTTCATTCGTGCCCTTGTCGCGTCAAACTTGCAACGAATTGCGGACTTCATGGGTGACGCTTCCGTCTGAAAAATTTCGCTCGCGTGTGACGGCAGTACGCATCGCGGCCATTCGTTATTTGACATGCGTATGCGATTCTATTACCGCGGCGTCCTGGTTAACTTGCACATCGTCGCCATTCCAATGTTCGACAAGCATACATCGCAAATCATATTTGCATCTGCAAGTTACGGACGCGCTGTACGGATCGTGGCGTTGCAAATTGATTTGCGTCGCTTCGGACGGCGAGAACGCAATGACTGGCCGCTATGCCGGCTTGACGCCTCAATTGTGCGCTACAGCTGAGCATTCTGTCCTTCGCATTTGGTGCGCGCCTCATCAAATTAGTATGGAAATAAAGTACTAGTCCGCCAATGTGCTCCAAGGCGGACGGGTCGCCAAAGCGCACGCGTTCAGCGTTTTTCTGCGTGCTCAAAACAGCTAAAAACCGAGATTAATGCCATTTGCCCGACGCTGAGTACTCGCTGGGTCGGGTATGGCATCGTGATGAGATTTTTCATCACATACCGGCGAAGACTGGTCAACTACACTGCTGATCATCAGAAGTTCGTCCCGCCGTCGCCATTCTGGTGGATCATGACGTACGCTGCGTCTACTGCCAATAGCAGTGTCAACAAGACAATTGTAGTAATGCAGAACAAGGCGCTTCTGATAGCGCAGAAGGACGAGAACATTGTCAAATCAATCTAACTGGATCGCTTGTCGCTATGTTCAGCATCGACTCGACCGATGTGCCAAGGACGGCTATTTTGTTTTGACGGTGGCATGAGTATCGCCTATGCTACATTCTCGCTCTTATCGGAAACCAGGGATAGTAGCCAACGCAGCTATTGGCGGCGCTGAGCGACGACGAAAAGCTAGACGACGAAAAGCTAGACGTCGTACGCTAGGTCGCTACATACGCGATGAACCTATTGATCGGACTGAAGAGCGTGCAAGCAGAGCGCGACGCCGACAATCTGCCCCGCGCGCAAGATACACCGCCAGTCTTGCCTGCACAGCCCTTCAAGCTGTCGTCACGAATGTTTGTCAAATACGTTCTGGCGCCGAACCGTGATCAGCTTTCGAAATCATGGACGGAGGAGTAGATTGACGATGTCGAGTCGGACCACAGGCTACTTCGCATAACGTACGACGAAGACGAAGAGTTGCGCGCCGTCATTGACAAGCACGACGCGAACACGTTTTTTGGCGAGGCATGGGGCATCTTGCAGGGCGGTCGGTTCGATTGTTTGCGTGCGTTCTGCAGCAAACGGGCGACTGCGTTTGCAAACACGTCGTCAGTCGAATCCGATTTTTCCATTTTAAAGTGTAAATGGATTCAAAACGCACGTGCTTAATGCACCTCGCACTGGAAGGCATCTTCCAGACAAGCAGCAGGATGTTCTCGACACGTTGACAAGCCGCATGGCGCATTCATAAACCACGTTATGGAAATCCCTAATCTAGTGAGAATACCTTCCATAAATTAGCTTAGTTTATTTTAATTTTGGAAAACAACATCTTTACTAGGCCTGGTTGAGGTTCTCTAAGCAGCTATGTAACGATGGACGTGCTGTAGACACATGGTCCTTCCGTCCATCTATCAAATTTCGCATCCTCACAGATCTTTGGAATTAACTAGAGCTCGAAATAATATATTAATTAATTATATGTAAATCAAACATACTAAATATCATAACATTCGTAAGAAATATGATCTATTCGAGACGTATGCTAGAAAAAGCTTAATATCACTTATAATACAAAAATACATAACCATCAATTTTTTCAAATCCATGTTTTAGTTCTGTCTTTCAAATTCATGTTCGAAAACATAGATAGGTAAAATAAAAATCATAAATAATAAAATTTAACCCAACAGTTATCTACCTCTTATAATAACACTTTTTATGATGATGACACAAACAATGATATTGGTACCAGTGCCCTTTGAACATTTGACGAACGTGTTTGAATATTGTCTAGCGTCCTTTTCACTCTATTTGTTTTGTTTACTTTGAAACATCCGACCGCACTATTCGTCGTAAATGTCAGCTTGCACTGTTTTAGTATAAGCCTGGTGCTCCGTTGCAACTGAAGCGAATAAGAAAAAATTGTTGCAACCTTATACAAAGACGACGGGTGCTATTCCACCTTTAACAAGTGTTTGATGATATACATAAGTAGCTTTTGACTTGTAGACGCCGATACGTGCTTGTCCAGTACCTCTAGTTCATTCTGAAGCGCGAGAAGCGCTGGTGTATGTATCTGGTATATGTCGGATTAGATATCTGAAGCTTAAATTTACCTTTATGACACATGCGCGACGGCAACATCGGACGCAACAGAAAATGTAATAAAGCGGCTATGAAAATTCGCGATAGGGGAACTGATCGCGTTCCAGTTCTATCCAAGTCAGTTAAAGGTTGGCAGCACCGGTTCCACAACTGGTCGGATCACGTCCATTGGACGGTCAGACAAAATTGGATATAAGATTGGACAGGATGGGACCTGTGATACCGGGTTGAAGTATGACGGACGAAGGGTACGAGTCCTGAAGATGAGGTTATTGGCATGGGGAATATTAAGCTGGCGATCAGTCGATCAAGAAGGGACCGCGATTCGCAAGGCGATCGCGATCAAGGAGGCGATTGAGACCGCAATCGGCGACTGGCATGTGATCAAGATCAGGTTAGTGTGGACCACAGCGAGCGATCACGATAAAAAAGTGTGTACTGTGATGTAGGGATGTAGTAGAAAGGACCGACACACTTAACGAAGCTACGGATTCGTTGGTCGGTATTATCGAGATCATCGAAGTCAAGGTCGTCGAAGTCAAAGTCGATCTCGAGGTCACCAAATTAAAGGTCGTCGAATTAGAGGTCATCGAAGTCAAGGTCGTTGAACCCGAGGTCGTCGGATTAAAGGTCTTTAAACTCGGGGTTGTCGAGCACGAGGTCGTCGAATTAAAGGTCGTCGAAACTCGAGGTCGTCGAAGTCGAGGTCGTCGATTTAAGGGTCGTCGATTTAGAGGTCGTCGATTTAGAGGTAGTCGAATTAGAGATCGTTCGAAGTCAGGGTAACCGAAGTCGAGGTCGTCCAACTCTAGTTCGTCAAATTAGAGGTCTATTAATTAGAGGTCGTCGATCTAGAGGTCGTTCGACGTAATGGTCATTAAAGTCGAGGTCGTCGAAATGAAGTTTGGCAAAGTCAAGGTCGTCGAAGTCAAGGTAACCGAAGACGAGGACGTCGAAGTCAGGGGCGTCGACATTAAGGTTGTCGAAGTCAAGCTCTTCGACTTAAAGGTCGTCAAAGTCGAGGTATTCGATCTGGCGGTTGTCGCAGCTAAGGACGTCGAACTGGCGATCTTCAAGGCCGAGGAGGGGAACTAGCGGCTGTCGAAGGCAACCTCTTTGAATTGGAGGTTGTCGAAGTCAAGGTCGTCGAATCAGAGGTCGTCAAATTGAAGGTAGTCAAATAAGAGGTCGTCGAAGTCAAGCTCTTCGACTTGGAAATCGTCGAAGTCAAGCTCTTCGATTTGAAAGTCGTCGAAGTCAAGTTCTTCGACTTGGAAATCGTCGAAGTCAAGCTCTTCGATTTGAAGGTCGTCGAAGTCAAGGTCGTCGAATTGTAGGTCGTCGAACACAATGTCGTCGGTTGAAATGTCTTTAAACTCGAGGTCATCGAAGTCAAGGTCGTCCGACACGAGGTCATCGAAGTCAAGGTCGTCGAAGTCCACGTCGTCGAACTGAAGATTGACAAAGTCAAGATCTTCGAAGTCATGGTCACCAAAGTCGAGGTCGTCGAGCTGAAGTTTGCCAAAGTCAAGGTCGTCAAAGTCAAGGTAACCGAAGTCGAGGTCGTCGAATTAGAGGTCGTCAAATTCAAGATCTTCGACTTGGAGGCTGTCCAAATCAAGGTCTTCGAAACGGCGGTTGGCGAAGCCAAGCTTGTCAAATTATAGGCCGTCGAAGTCAAGGTCTTCGAATTGAAGTTCGTTGGAAACAAGGTCTTCGAACTGGCGGTTGTCGAAGCCGAGAACGTCGAAATGAAGGTCGTCCAACTGGATGTCGTCGAATCCTAGGTCGTCGAATTAGGGTTTGTCGAAGTCGAAGTCTTCGAAGGCAAGGTCGTCAAATCAGAGGTCGTCAAATTGAAGGTTGTCAAATTGGAGGTCGTCGAAGTCAAGCTCTTCGACTTGAAGGTCGTCGAAGTCAAGGTCGTCGAATTGTAGGTCGTCGAACACAATGTCGTCGGTTGAAATGTCTTTAAACTCGAGGTCATCGAAGTCAAGGTCGTCCGACACGAGGTCATCGAAGTCAAGGTCGTCGAAGTCCACGTCGTCGAACTGAAGATTGACAAAGTCAAGATCTTCGAAGTCATGGTCACCAAAGTCGAGGTCGTCGAGCTGAAGTTTGCCAAAGTCAAGGTCGTCAAAGTCAAGGTAACCGAAGTCGAGGTCGTCGAATTAGAGGTCGTCAAAGTCAAGATCTTCGACTTGGAGGCTGTCCAAATCAAGGTCTTCGAAACGGCGGTTGGCGAAGCCAAGCTTGTCAAATTATAGGCCGTCGAAGTCAAGGTCTTCGAATTGAAGTTCGTTGGAAACAAGGTCTTCGAACTGGCGGTTGTCGAAGCCGAGAACGTCGAAATGAAGGTCGTCCAACTGGATGTCGTCGAATCCTAGGTCGTCGAATTAGGGTTTGTCGAAGTCGAAGTCTTCGAAGGCAAGGTCGTCAAATCAGAGGTCGTCAAATTGAAGGTTGTCAAATTGGAGGTCGTCGAAGTCAAGCTCTTCGACTTGAAGGTCGTCGAAGTCAAGGTCGTCGAATTGTAGGTCGTCGAACACAATGTCGTCGGTTGAAATGTCTTTAAACTCGAGGTCATCGAAGTCAAGGTCGTCCGACACGAGGTCATCGAAGTCAAGGTCGTCGAAGTCCACGTCGTCGAACTGAAGATTGACAAAGTCAAGATCTTCGAAGTCATGGTCACCAAAGTCGAGGTCGTCGAGCTGAAGTTTGCCAAAGTCAAGGTCGTCAAAGTCAAGGTAACCGAAGTCGAGGTCGTCGAATTAGAGGTCGTCAAAGTCAAGATCTTCGACTTGGAGGTTGTCCAAATCAAGGTCTTCGAAACGGCGGTTGGCGAAGCCAAGCTTGTCAAATTATAGGCCGTCGAAGTCAAGGTCTTCGAATTGAAGTTCGTTGGAAACAAGGTCTTCGAACTGGCGGTTGTCGAAGCCGAGAACGTCGAAATGAAGGTCGTCCAACTGGATGTGGTCGAATCCTAGGTCGTCGAATTAGGGTTTGTCGAAGTCGAAGTCTTCGAAGGCAAGGTCGTCAAATCAGAGGTCGTCAAATTGAAGGTTGTCAAATTGGAGGTCGTCGAAGTCAAGGTCGTCGAATTGTAGGTCGTCGAACACAATGTCGTCGGTTGAAATATCTTTAAACTCGAGGTCATCGAAGTCAAGGTCGTCCGACACGAGGTCATCGAAGTCAAGGTCGTCGAAGTCCACGTCGTCGAACTGAAGATTGACAAAGTCAAGATCTTCGAAGTCATGGTCACCAAAGTCGAGGTCGTCGAGCTGAAGTTTGCCAAAGTCAAGGTCGTCGAATTAGACGTCATATAACTGGAACTTGTCGAATAAAAGGCCGTCGAATCAGAGGTCGTCGAAGTCATTTTCTATGACTTGGAGGTCGTCGATGTCTAGGTCGTCGAACCTGATGCCGTCGAATGAACTGTCGTAGAAATTGGAGGTCGTCGAGGTCAAGGTCGTCGAACCCGATGTCGTCGGATAATAGATCTGTAAACTCGAGGTTGTCGAGCTCGAGGTCGTCGAATGAAAAGTTGTCCGATTAAAGGCCGTCGAACTTAAGGTCGTCAAATGAAGGGTCGTCGAATTAGAAGTCGTCGAATTTGAGGTCTTCGAATTTGAGATCGTCGAAGTCAGGGTCACATAAGTCGAGGTCGTCGAACTGAAGCTTGGTAAAGTCAAGGTCGTCGAAGGCAAGGTAACCGAAGCCGATGACGTCGAATTGGAGGTCGTCGAATGGGAGGTCGTCGAAGTCAAGCTCTTCGACTTGAAGGTCGTCGAAGCCAAGGACGTCGAACTGGCGGTTGGCGAAGCCAAGGAGGCGAACTGGCGGTTGTCAAAGCCGAGGATGTCAAATTGGAGGTCGTTCAAGTCAAGGTCGTCAAATCAGAGGTCGTCAAATTGAAGGTTGTCAAATTGGAGGTCGTCGAAGTCAAGCTCTTCGACTTGAAGGTCGTCGAAGTCAAGGTCGTCGAATTGTAGGTCGTCGAACACAAGGTCGTCGGTTGAAATATCTTTAAACTCGAGGTCATCGAAGTCAAGGTCGTCCAACTCGAGGTCTTTGAAGTCAAGGTCGTCGAAGTCCACGTCGTCGAACTGAAGATTGACAAAGTCAAGATCTTCGAAGTCATGGTCACCAAAGTCGAGGTCGTCGAGCTGAAGTTTGCCAAAGTCAAGGTCGTCAAAGTCAAGGTAACCGAAGTCGAGGTCGTCGAATTAGAGGTCGTCAAAGTCAAGATCTTCGACTTGGAGGCTGCCCAAATCAAGGTCTTCGAAACGGCGGTTGGCGAAGCCAAGCTTGTCAAATTATAGGCCGTCGAAGTCAAGGTCTTCGAATTGAAGTTCGTTGGAAACAAGGTCTTCGAACTGGCGGTTGTCGAAGCCGAGAACGTCGAAATGAAGGTCGTACAACTGGATGTGGTCGAATCCTAGGTCGTCGAATTAGAGTTTGTCGAAGTCGAAGTCTTCGAAGGCAAGGTAACCGAAGCCGGGGACGTCGAATCGGAGGTCGTCGAATGGGAGGTCGTCGAAGTCAAGCTCTTCGACTTGAAGGTCGTCGAAGTCAAGGTCGTCGAATTGTAGGTCGTCGAACACAAGGTCGTCGGTTGAAATATCTTTAAACTCGAGGTCATCGAAGTCAAGGTCGTCCAACTCGAGGTCTTTGAAGTCAAGGTCGTCGAAGTCCACGTCGTCGAACTGAAGATTGACAAAGTCAAGATCTTCGAAGTCATGGTCACCAAAGTCGAGGTCGTCGAGCTGAAGTTTGCCAAAGTCAAGGTCGTCAAAGTCAAGGTAACCGAAGTCGAGGTCGTCGAATTAGAGGTCGTCAAAGTCAAGGTCGTCGAACTGAAGTTTGCCAAAGTCAAGGTCGTCAAAGTCAAGGTAACCGAAGTCGAGGTCGTCGAATTAGAGGTCGTCAAATTCAAGATCTTCGACTTGGAGGCTGTCCAAATCAAGGTCTTCGAAACGGCGGTTGGCGAAGCCAAGCTTGTCAAATTATAGGCCGTCGAAGTCAAGGTCTTCGAATTGAAGTTCGTTGGAAACAAGGTCTTCGAACTGGCGGTTGTCGAAGCCGAGAACGTCGAAATGAAGGTCGTCCAACTGGATGTCGTCGAATCCTAGGTCGTCGAATTAGGGTTTGTCGAAGTCGAAGTCTTCGAAGGCAAGGTAACCGAAGCCGGGGACGTCGAATCGGAGGTCGTAGAATGGGAGGTCGTCGAAGTCAAGCTCTTCGACTTGAAGGTCATCGAAGTCAAGGTCGTCGAATTGTAGGTCGTCGAACACAAGGTCGTCGGTTGAAATATCTTTAAACTCGAGGTCATCGAAGTCAAGGTCGTCCAACTCGAGGTCTTTGAAGTCAAGGTCGTCGAAGTCCACGTCGTCGAACTGAAGATTGACAAAGTCAAGATCTTCGAAGTCATGGTCACCAAAGTCGAGGTCGTCGAGCTGAAGTTTGCCAAAGTCAAGGTCGTCAAAGTCAAGGTAACCGAAGTCGAGGTCGTCGAATTAGAGGTCGTCAAAGTCAAGGTCGTCGAACTGAAGTTTGCCAAAGTCAAGGTCGTCAAAGTCAAGGTAACCGAAGTCGAGGTCGTCGAATTAGAGGTCGTCAAAGTCAAGGTCGTCGAACTGAAGTTTGCTAAAGTCAAGGTCGTCGAAGTCAAGGTAACCGAAGTCGAGGTCGTCGATTTAGAGGACGTTGAAGTCAAGGTCGTCGAACTGAAGTTTGCCAAAGTCAAGGTCGTCGAAGTCACGGTAACCGAATTTGAGGTCGTCGAATAAGAGGTTGTCGAATTTGAGGTCGTCGAAGTCATGGTCACCAAAGTCGAGGTCGTCGAGCTGAAGTTTGGCAAAGTCAAGGTCGTTGAAGGCAATGTAAATCAAGCCGAGGTCGTCAGAATGAAGGTCTTTGAAATAAAGGTCGTCAAAGTCAAGCTCTTCGACTTGGAGGTCGTCAAAGTCGAGGTCGTCTATTTGAAGGTCGTCGAACCCGAGGACGTCGAATGAACTGTCGTCGAAATCGGAGGTTGTTTAAGTTAAGGTAGTCGAACCCGATGTCGTCGGATACTAGATCTGTAAACTCGAGGTTGTCGAGTTCGAGGTCGTCGAATGATAAGCTGTCCGATTAAAGGCCGTCGAACTTAAGGTCGTCAAATGAAGGGTCGTCGAATTAGAAGTCGTCGAATTTGAGGTCTTCGAATTTGAGGTCGTCGAAGTCAGGGTCAAATAAGTCGAGGTCGTCGAACTGAAGCTTGGTAAAGTCAAGGTCGTCGAAGGCAAGGTAACCGAAGCCGATGACGTCGAATTGGAGGTCGTCGAATGGGAGGTCGTCGAAGTCAAGCTCTTCGACTTGAAGGTCGTCGAAGTCAAGGTCGTCGAATTGTAGGTCGTCGAACACAATGTCGTCGGTTGAAATGTCTTTAAACTCGAGGTCATCGAAGTCAAGGTCGTCCAACACGAGGTCATCGAAGTCAAGGTCGTCGAAGTCCACGTCGTCGAACTGAAGATTGACAAAGTCAAGATCTTCGAAGTCATGGTCACCAAAGTCGAGGTCGTCGAGCTGAAGTTTGCCAAAGTCAAGGTCGTCAAAGTCAAGGTAACCGAAGTCGAGGTCGTCGAATTAGAGGTCGTCAAAGTCAAGATCTTCGACTTGGAGGTTGTCCAAATCAAGGTCTTCGAAACGGCGGTTGGCGAAGCCAAGCTTGTCAAATTATAGGCCGTCGAAGTCAAGGTCTTCGAATTGAAGTTCGTTGGAAACAAGGTCTTCGAACTGGCGGTTGTCGAAGCCGAGAACGTCGAAATGAAGGTCGTCCAACTGGATGTGGTCGAATCCTAGGTCGTCGAATTAGAGTTTGTCGAAGTCGAAGTCTTCGAAGGCAAGGTAACCGAAGCCGGGGACGTCGAATCGGAGGTCGTCAAATTGGAGGTCGTCGAAGTCAAGCTCTTTGACTTGAAGGTCGTCGAAGTCAAGGTCGTCGAATTGTAGGTCGTCGAACACAAGGTCGTCGGTTGAAATATCTTTAAACTCGAGGTCATCGAAGTCAAGGTCGTCCAACTCGAGGTCATCGAAGTCAAGGTCGTCGAAGTCCACGTCGTCGAACTGAAGATTGACAAAGTCAAGATCTTCGAAGTCATGGTCACCAAAGTCGAGGTCGTCGAGCTGAAGTTTGCCAAAGTCAAGGTCGTCAAAGTCAAGGTAACCGAAGTCGAGGTCGTCGAATTAGAGGTCGTCAAAGTCAAGGTCGTCGAACTGAAGTTTGCCAAAGTCAAGGTCGTCAAAGTCAAGGTAACCGAAGTCGAGGTCGTCGAATAAGAGGTTGTCGAATTTGAGGTCGTCGAAGTCATGGTCACCAAAGTCGAGGTCGTCGAGCTGAAGTTTGGCAAAGTCAAGGTCGTTGAAGGCAAGGTAAATCAAGCCGAGGTCGTCAGAATGAAGGTCTTTGAAATAAAGGTCGTCAAAGTCAAGCTCTTCGACTTGGAGGTCGTCAAAGTCGAGGTCGTCTATTTGAAGGTCGTCGAACCCGAGGACGTCGAATGAACTGTCGTCGAAATCGGAGGTTGTTTAAGTTAAGGTAGTCGAACCCGATGTCGTCGGATACTAGATCTGTAAACTCGAGGTTGTCGAGTTCGAGGTCGTCGAATGATAAGCTGTCCGATTAAAGGCCGTCGAACTTAAGGTCGTCAAATGAAGGGTCGTCGAATTAGAAGTCGTCGAATTTGAGGTCTTCGAATTTGAGGTCGTCGAAGTCAGGGTCAAATAAGTCGAGGTCGTCGAACTGAAGCTTGGTAAAGTCAAGGTCGTCGAAGGCAAGGTAACCGAAGCCGATGACGTCGAATTGGAGGTCGTCGAATGGGAGGTCGTCGAAGTCAAGCTCTTCGACTTGAAGGTCGTCGAAGTCAAGGTCGTCGAATTGTAGGTCGTCGAACACAATGTCGTCGGTTGAAATGTCTTTAAACTCGAGGTCATCGAAGTTAAGGTCGTCCAACACGAGGTCATCGAAGTCAAGGTCGTCGAAGTCCACGTCGTCGAACTGAAGATTGACAAAGTCAAGATCTTCGAAGTCATGGTCACCAAAGTCGAGGTCGTCGAGCTGAAGTTTGCCAAAGTCAAGGTCGTCAAAGTCAAGGTAACCGAAGTCGAGGTCGTCGAATTAGAGGTCGTCAAAGTCAAGATCTTCGACTTGGAGGTTGTCCAAATCAAGGTCTTCGAAACGGCGGTTGGCGAAGCCAAGCTTGTCAAATTATAGGCCGTCGAAGTCAAGGTCTTCGAATTGAAGTTCGTTGGAAACAAGGTCTTCGAACTGGCGGTTGTCGAAGCCGAGAACGTCGAAATGAAGGTCGTCCAACTGGATGTCGTCGAATCCTAGGTCGTCGAATTAGGGTTTGTCGAAGTCGAAGTCTTCGAAGGCAAGGTCGTCAAATCAGAGGTCGTCAAATTGAAGGTTGTCAAATTGGAGGTCGTCGAAGTCAAGCTCTTCGACTTGAAGGTCGTCGAAGTCAAGGTCGTCGAATTGTAGGTCGTCGAACACAAGGTCGTCGGTTGAAATATCTTTAAACTCGAGGTCATCGAAGTCAAGGTCGTCCAACTCGAGGTCTTTGAAGTCAAGGTCGTCGAAGTCCACGTCGTCGAACTGAAGATTGACAAAGTCAAGATCTTCGAAGTCATGGTCACCAAAGTCGAGGTCGTCGAGCTGAAGTTTGCCAAAGTCAAGGTCGTCAAAGTCAAGGTAACCGAAGTCGAGGTCGTCGAATTAGAGGTCGTCAAAGTCAAGGTCGTCGAACTGAAGTTTGCTAAAGTCAAGGTCGTCGAAGTCACGGTAACCGAATTTGAGGTCGTCGAATAAGAGGTTGTCGAATTTGAGGTCGCCGAAGTCATGGTCACCAAAGTCGAGGTCGTCGAGCTGAAGTTTGGCAAAGTCAAGGTCGTTGAAGGCAAGGTAAATCAAGCCGAGGTCGTCAGAATGAAGGTCTTTGAAATAAAGGTCGTCAAAGTCAAGCTCTTCGACTTGGAGGTCGTCAAAGTCGAGGTCGTCGATTTGAAAGTCGTCGAACCCGAGGACGTCGAATGAACTGTCGTCGAAATTGGAGGTCGTCGAGGTCAAGGTCGTCGAACCCGATGTCGTCGGATACTAGATCTGTAAACTCGAGGTTGTCGAGCTCGAGGTCGTCGAATGAAAAGTTGTCCGATTAAAGGCCGTCGAACTTAAGGTCGTCAAATGAAGGGTCGTCGAATTAGAAGTCGTCGAATTTGAGGTCTTCGAATTTGAGGTCGTCGAAGTCAGGGTCACATAAGTCGAGGTCGTCGAACTGAAGCTTGGTAAAGTCAAGGTCGTCGAAGGCAAGGTAACCGAAGCCGATGACGTCGAATAAGAGGTCGTCGAATGGGAGGTCGTCGAAGTCAAGCTCTTCGACTTGAAGGTCGTCGAAGTCAAGGTCGTCGAATTGTAGGTCGTCGAACACAATGTCGTCGGTTGAAATGTCTTTAAACTCGAGGTCATCGAAGTTAAGGTCGTCCAACACGAGGTCATCGAAGTCAAGGTCGTCGAAGTCCACGTCGTCGAACTGAAGATTGACAAAGTCAAGATCTTCGAAGTCATGGTCACCAAAGTCGAGGTCGTCGAGCTGAAGTTTGCCAAAGTCAAGGTCGTCAAAGTCAAGGTAACCGAAGTCGAGGTCGTCGAATTAGAGGTCGTCAAAGTCAAGATCTTCGACTTGGAGGTTGTCCAAATCAAGGTCTTCGAAACGGCGGTTGGCGAAGCCAAGCTTGTCAAATTATAGGCCGTCGAAGTCAAGGTCTTCGAATTGAAGTTCGTTGGAAACAAGGTCTTCGAACTGGCGGTTGTCGAAGCCGAGAACGTCGAAATGAAGGTCGTCCAACTGGATGTCGTCGAATCCTAGGTCGTCGAATTAGGGTTTGTCGAAGTCGAAGTCTTCGAAGGCAAGGTCGTCAAATCAGAGGTCGTCAAATTGAAGGTTGTCAAATTGAAGGTCGTCGAAGTCAAGCTCTTCGACTTGAAGGTCGTCGAAGTCAAGGTCGTCGAATTGTAGGTCGTCGAACACAAGGTCGTCGGTTGAAATATCTTTAAACTCGAGGTCATCGAAGTCAAGGTCGTCCAACTCGAGGTCATCGAAGTCAAGGTCGTCGAAGTCCACGTCGTCGAACTGAAGATTGACAAAGTCAAGATCTTCGAAGTCATGGTCACCAAAGTCGAGGTCGTCGAGCTGAAGTTTGCCAAAGTCAAGGTCGTCAAAGTCAAGGTAACCGAAGTCGAGGTCGTCGAATTAGAGGTCGTCAAAGTCAAGGTCGTCGAACTGAAGTTTGCCAAAGTCAAGGTCGTCGAAGTCACGGTAACCGAATTTGAGGTCGTCGAATAAGAGGTTGTCGAATTTGAGGTCGCCGAAGTCATGGTCACCAAAGTCGAGGTCGTCGAGCTGAAGTTTGGCAAAGTCAAGGTCGTTGAAGGCAAGGTAAATCAAGCCGAGGTCGTCAGAATGAAGGTCTTTGAAATAAAGGTCGTCAAAGTCAAGCTCTTCGACTTGGAGGTCGTCAAAGTCGAGGTCGTCGATTTGAAAGTCGTCGAACCCGAGGACGTCGAATGAACTGTCGTCGAAATTGGAGGTCGTCGAGGTCAAGGTCGTCGAACCCGATGTCGTCGGATACTAGATCTGTAAACTCGAGGTTGTCGAGCTCGAGGTCGTCGAATGAAAAGTTGTCCGATTAAAGGCCGTCGAACTTAAGGTCGTCAAATGAAGGGTCGTCGAATTAGAAGTCGTCGAATTTGAGGTCTTCGAATTTGAGGTCGTCGAAGTCAGGGTCACATAAGTCGAGGTCGTCGAACTGAAGCTTGGTAAAGTCAAGGTCGTCGAAGGCAAGGTAACCGAAGCCGATGACGTCGAATAAGAGGTCGTCGAATGGGAGGTCGTCGAAGTCAAGCTCTTCGACTTGAAGGTCGTCGAAGTCAAGGTCGTCGAATTGTAGGTCGTCGAACACAATGTCGTCGGTTGAAATGTCTTTAAACTCGAGGTCATCGAAGTTAAGGTCGTCCAACACGAGGTCATCGAAGTCAAGGTCGTCGAAGTCCACGTCGTCGAACTGAAGATTGACAAAGTCAAGATCTTCGAAGTCATGGTCACCAAAGTCGAGGTCGTCGAGCTGAAGTTTGCCAAAGTCAAGGTCGTCAAAGTCAAGGTAACCGAAGTCGAGGTCGTCGAATTAGAGGTCGTCAAAGTCAAGGTCGTCGAACTGAAGTTTGCCAAAGTCAAGGTCGTCGAAGTCACGGTAACCGAATTTGAGGTCGTCGAATAAGAGGTTGTCGAATTTGAGGTCGCCGAAGTCATGGTCACCAAAGTCGAGGTCGTCGAGCTGAAGTTTGGCAAAGTCAAGGTCGTTGAAGGCAAGGTAAATCAAGCCGAGGTCGTCAGAATGAAGGTCTTTGAAATAAAGGTCGTCAAAGTCAAGCTCTTCGACTTGGAGGTCGTCAAAGTCGAGGTCGTCGATTTGAAAGTCGTCGAACCCGAGGACGTCGAATGAACTGTCGTCGAAATTGGAGGTCGTCGAGGTCAAGGTCGTCGAACCCGATGTCGTCGGATACTAGATCTGTAAACTCGAGGTTGTCGAGCTCGAGGTCGTCGAATGAAAAGTTGTCCGATTAAAGGCCGTCGAACTTAAGGTCGTCAAATGAAGGGTCGTCGAATTAGAAGTCGTCGAATTTGAGGTCTTCGAATTTGAGGTCGTCGAAGTCAGGGTCACATAAGTCGAGGTCGTCGAACTGAAGCTTGGTAAAGTCAAGGTCGTCGAAGGCAAGGTAACCGAAGCCGATGACGTCGAATAAGAGGTCGTCGAATGGGAGGTCGTCGAAGTCAAGCTCTTCGACTTGAAGGTCGTCGAAGTCAAGGTCGTCGAATTGTAGGTCGTCGAACACAATGTCGTCGGTTGAAATGTCTTTAAACTCGAGGTCATCGAAGTTAAGGTCGTCCAACACGAGGTCATCGAAGTCAAGGTCGTCGAAGTCCACGTCGTCGAACTGAAGATTGACAAAGTCAAGATCTTCGAAGTCATGGTCACCAAAGTCGAGGTCGTCGAGCTGAAGTTTGCCAAAGTCAAGGTCGTCAAAGTCAAGGTAACCGAAGTCGAGGTCGTCGAATTAGAGGTCGTCAAAGTCAAGGTCGTCGAACTGAAGTTTGCCAAAGTCAAGGTCGTCGAAGTCACGGTAACCGAATTTGAGGTCGTCGAATAAGAGGTTGTCGAATTTGAGGTCGCCGAAGTCATGGTCACCAAAGTCGAGGTCGTCGAGCTGAAGTTTGGCAAAGTCAAGGTCGTTGAAGGCAAGGTAAATCAAGCCGAGGTCGTCAGAATGAAGGTCTTTGAAATAAAGGTCGTCAAAGTCAAGCTCTTCGACTTGGAGGTCGTCAAAGTCGAGGTCGTCGATTTGAAAGTCGTCGAACCCGAGGACGTCGAATGAACTGTCGTCGAAATTGGAGGTCGTCGAGGTCAAGGTCGTCGAACCCGATGTCGTCGGATACTAGATCTGTAAACTCGAGGTTGTCGAGCTCGAGGTCGTCGAATGAAAAGTTGTCCGATTAAAGGCCGTCGAACTTAAGGTCGTCAAATGAAGGGTCGTCGAATTAGAAGTCGTCGAATTTGAGGTCTTCGAATTTGAGGTCGTCGAAGTCAGGGTCAAATAAGTCGAGGTCGTCGAACTGAAGCTTGGTAAAGTCAAGGTCGTCGAAGGCAAGGTAACCGAAGCCGATGACGTCGAATAAGAGGTCGTCGAATGGGAGGTCGTCGAAGTCAAGCTCTTCGACTTGAAGGTCGTCGAAGTCAAGGTCGTCGAATTGTAGGTCGTCGAACACAATGCCGTCGGTTGAAAAGTCTTTAAACTCGAGGTCATCGAAGTTAAGGTCGTCCAACACGAGGTCATCGAAGTCAAGGTCGTCGAAGTCCACGTCGTCGAACTGAAGATTGACAAAGTCAAGATCTTCGAAGTCATGGTCACCAAAGTCGAGGTCGTCGAGCTGAAGTTTGCCAAAGTCAAGGTCGTCAAAGTCAAGGTAACCGAAGTCGAGGTCGTCGAATTAGAGGTCGTCAAAGTCAAGGTCGTCGAACTGAAGTTTGCCAAAGTCAAGGTCGTCGAAGTCACGGTAACCGAATTTGAGGTCGTCGAATAAGAGGTTGTCGAATTTGAGGTCGCCGAAGTCATGGTCACCAAAGTCGAGGTCGTCGAGCTGAAGTTTGGCAAAGTCAAGGTCGTTGAAGGCAAGGTAAATCAAGCCGAGGTCGTCAGAATGAAGGTCTTTGAAATAAAGGTCGTCAAAGTCAAGCTCTTCGACTTGGAGGTCGTCAAAGTCGAGGTCGTCGATTTGAAAGTCGTCGAACCCGAGGACGTCGAATGAACTGTCGTCGAAATTGGAGGTCGTCGAGGTCAAGGTCGTCGAACCCGATGTCGTCGGATACTAGATCTGTAAACTCGAGGTTGTCGAGCTCGAGGTCGTCGAATGAAAAGTTGTCCGATTAAAGGCCGTCGAACTTAAGGTCGTCAAATGAAGGGTCGTCGAATTAGAAGTCGTCGAATTTGAGGTCTTCGAATTTGAGGTCGTCGAAGTCAGGGTCACATAAGTCGAGGTCGTCGAACTGAAGCTTGGTAAAGTCAAGGTCGTCGAAGGCAAGGTAACCGAAGCCGATGACGTCGAATAAGAGGTCGTCGAATGGGAGGTCGTCGAAGTCAAGCTCTTCGACTTGAAGGTCGTCGAAGTCAAGGTCGTCGAATTGTAGGTCGTCGAACACAATGCCGTCGGTTGAAAAGTCTTTAAACTCGAGGTCATCGAAGTTAAGGTCGTCCAGCACGAGGTCATCGAAGTCAAGGTCGTCGAAGTCCACGTCGTCGAACTGAAGATTGACAAAGTCAAGATCTTCGAAGTCATGGTCACCAAAGTCGAGGTCGTCGAGCTGAAGTTTGCCAAAGTCAAGGTCGTCAAAGTCAAGGTAACCGAAGTCGAGGTCGTCGAATTAGAGGTCGTCAAAGTCAAGATCTTCGACTTGGAGGCTGCCCAAATCAAGGTCTTCGAAACGGCGGTTGGCGAAGCCAAGCTTGTCAAATTATAGGCCGTCGAAGTCAAGGTCTTCGAATTGAAGTTCGTTGGAAACAAGGTCTTCGAACTGGCGGTTGTCGTAGCCGAGAACGTCGAAATGAAGGTCGTCCAACTGGATGTCGTCGAATCCTAGGTCGTCGAATTAGGGTTTGTCGAAGTCGAAGTCTTCGAAGGCAAGGTCGTCAAATCAGAGGTCGTCAAATTGAAGGTTGTCAAATTGGAGGTCGTCGAAGTCAAGCTCTTCGACTTGAAGGTCGTCGAAGTCCACGTCGTCGAACTGAAGATTGACAAAGTCAAGATCTTCGAAGTCATGGTCACCAAAGTCGAGGTCGTCGAGCTGAAGTTTGCCAAAGTCAAGGTCGTCAAAGTCAAGGTAACCGAAGTCGAGGTCGTCGAATTAGAGGTCGTCAAAGTCAAGATCTTCGACTTGGAGGCTGCCCGAATCAAGGTCTTCGAAACGGCGGTTGGCGAAGCCAAGCTTGTCAAATTATAGGCCGTCGAAGTCAAGGTCTTCGAATTGAAGTTCGTTGGAAACAAGGTCTTCGAACTGGCGGTTGTCGTAGCCGAGAACGTCGAAATGAAGGTCGTCCAACTGGATGTGGTCGAATCCTAGGTCGTCGAATTAGGGTTTGTCGAAGTCGAAGTCTTCGAAGGCAAGGTCGTCAAATCAGAGGTCGTCAAATTGAAGGTTGTCAAATTGGAGGTCGTCGAAGTCAAGCTCTTCGACTTGAAGGTCGTCGAAGTCAAGGTCGTCGAATTGTAGGCCGTCGAACACAAGGTCGTCGGTTGAAATATCTTTAAACTCGAGGTCATCGAAGTCAAGGTCGTCCAACTCGAGGTCATCGAAGTCAAGGTCGTCGAAGTCCACGTCGTCGAACTGAAGATTGACAAAGTCAAGATCTTCGAAGTCATGGTCACCAAAGTCAAGGTCGTCGAACTGAAGTTTGCTAAAGTCAAGGTCGTCGAAGTCAAGGTAACCGAAGTCGAGGTCGTCGATTTAGAGGACGTTGAAGTCAAGGTCGTCGAACTGAAGTTTGCCAAAGTCAAGGTCGTCGAAGTCAAGGTAACCGAAGTCGAGGTCGTCGAATTAGAGGACGTTGAAGTCAAATTGTCGAACTGCAGTTTGCCAAAGTCAAGGTCGTCGAAGTCAAGGTAACCGAAGTCGAGGTCGTCGAATTTGAGGTTGTCGAATTTGAGGTCGTCGAAAGCAGGGTCACATAAGTCAAGGTCGTCGAATTAGGGTTTGTCGAAGTCGAAGTCTTCGAAGGCAAGGTCGTCAAATCAGAGGTCGTCAAATTGAAGGTTGTCAAATTGGAGGTCGTCGAAGTCAAGCTCTTCGACTTGAAGGTCGTCGAAGTCAAGGTCGTCGAATTGTAGGTCGTCGAACACAAGGTCGTCGGTTGAAAAGTCTTTAAACTCGAGGTCATCGAAGTCAAGGTCGTCCAACTCGAGGTCATCGAAGTCAAGGTCGTCGAAGTCCACGTCGTCGAACTGAAGATTGACAAAGTCAAGATCTTCGAAGTCATGGTCACCAAAGTCGAGGTCGTCGAACTGAAGTTTGCTAAAGTCAAGGTCGTCGAAGTCAAGGTAACCGAAGTCGAGGTCGTCGATTTAGAGGACGTTGAAGTCAAGGTCGTCGAACTGAAGTTTGCCAAAGTCAAGGTCGTCGAAGTCACGGTAACCGAATTTGAGGTCGTCGAATAAGAGGTCGTCGAATTAGAGGACGTTGAAGTCAAATTGTCGAACTGAAGTTTGCCAAAGTCAAGGTCGTCGAAGTCAAGGTAACCGAAGTCGAGGTCGTCGAATTTGAGGTCGTCGAATTTGAGGTCGTCGAAAGCAGGGTCACATAAGTCAAGGTCGTCGAATTAGGGTTTGTCGAAGTCGAAGTCTTCGAAGGCAAGGTCGTCAAATCAGAGGTCGTCAAATTGAAGGTTGTCAAATTGGAGGTCGTCGAAGTCAAGCTCTTCGACTTGAAGGTCGTCGAAGTCAAGGTCGTCGAATTGTAGGTCGTCGAACACAAGGTCGTCGGTTGAAATATCTTTAAACTCGAGGTCATCGAAGTCAAGGTCGTCCAACTCGAGGTCTTTGAAGTCAAGGTCGTCGAAGTCCACGTCGTCGAACTGAAGATTGACAAAGTCAAGATCTTCGAAGTCATGGTCACCAAAGTCAAGGTCGTCGAACTGAAGTTTGCTAAAGTCAAGGTCGTCAAAGTCAAGGTAACCGAAGTCGAGGTCGTCGATTTAGAGGACGTTAAAGTCAAGGTCGTCGAACTGAAGTTTGCCAAAGTCAAGGTCGTCGAAGTCAAGGTAACCGAAGTCGAGGTCGTCGAATTAGAGGACGTTGAAGTCAAATTGTCGAACTGAAGTTTGCCAAAGTCAAGGTCGTCGAAGTCAAGGTAACCGAAGTCGAGGTCGTCGAATTTGAGGTTGTCGAATTTGAGGTCGTCGAAAGCAGGGTCACATAAGTCAAGGTCGTCGAATTAGGGTTTGTCGAAGTCGAAGTCTTCGAAGGCAAGGTCGTCAAATCAGAGGTCGTCAAATTGAAGGTTGTCAAATTGGAGGTCGTCGAAGTCAAGCTCTTCGACTTGAAGGTCGTCGAAGTCAAGGTCGTCGAATTGTAGGTCGTCGAACACAAGGTCGTCGGTTGAAAAGTCTTTAAACTCGAGGTCATCGAAGTCAAGGTCGTCCAACTCGAGGTCATCGAAGTCAAGGTCGTCGAAGTCCACGTCGTCGAACTGAAGATTGACAAAGTCAAGATCTTCGAAGTCATGGTCACCAAAGTCGAGGTCGTCGAACTGAAGTTTGCTAAAGTCAAGGTCGTCGAAGTCAAGGTAACCGAAGTCGAGGTCGTCGATTTAGAGGACGTTGAAGTCAAGGTCGTCGAACTGAAGTTTGCCAAAGTCAAGGTCGTCGAAGTCACGGTAACCGAATTTGAGGTCGTCGAATAAGAGGTCGTCGAATTAGAGGACGTTGAAGTCAAATTGTCGAACTGAAGTTTGCCAAAGTCAAGGTCGTCGAAGTCAAGGTAACCGAAGTCGAGGTCGTCGAATTTGAGGTCGTCGAATTTGAGGTCGTCGAAAGCAGGGTCACATAAGTCAAGGTCGTCGAATTAGGGTTTGTCGAAGTCGAAGTCTTCGAAGGCAAGGTCGTCAAATCAGAGGTCGTCAAATTGAAGGTTGTCAAATTGGAGGTCGTCGAAGTCAAGCTCTTCGACTTGAAGGTCGTCGAAGTCAAGGTCGTCGAATTGTAGGTCGTCGAACACAAGGTCGTCGGTTGAAATATCTTTAAACTCGAGGTCATCGAAGTCAAGGTCGTCCAACTCGAGGTCTTTGAAGTCAAGGTCGTCGAAGTCCACGTCGTCGAACTGAAGATTGACAAAGTCAAGATCTTCGAAGTCATGGTCACCAAAGTCGAGGTCGTCGAGCTGAAGTTTGCCAAAGTCAAGGTCGTCAAAGTCAAGGTAACCGAAGTCGAGGTCGTCGAATTAGAGGTCGTCAAAGTCAAGGTCGTCGAACTGGAAGTTTGCCAAAGTCAAGGTCGTCGAAGTCAAGGTAACCGAAGTCGAGGTCGTCGAATAAGAGGTTGTCGAATTTGAGGTCGTCGAAGTCATGGTCACCAAAGTCGAGGTCGTCGAGCTGAAGTTTGGCAAAGTCAAGGTCGTTGAAGGCAAGGTAAATCAAGCCGAGGTCGTCAGAATGAAGGTCTTTGAAATAAAGGTCGTCAAAGTCAAGCTCTTCGACTTGGAGGTCGTCAAAGTCGAGGTCGTCGATTTGAAAGTCGTCGAACCCGAGGACGTCGAATGAACTGTCGTCGAAATTGGAGGTCGTCGAGGTCAAGGTCGTCGAACCCGATCTCGTCGGATAAAAGATCTGTAAACTCGAGGTTGTCGAGCTCGAGGTCGTCGAATGAAAAGTTGTCCGATTAAAGGCCGTCGAACTTAAGGTCGTCAAATGAAGGGTCGTCGAATTAGAAGTCGTCGAATTTGAGGTCGTCGAATTTGAGGTCGTCGAAGTCAGGGTCACATAAGTCGAGGTCGTCGAACTGAAGCTTGGTAAAGTCAAGGTCGTCGAAGGCAAGGTAACCGAAGCCGATGACGTCGAATTGGAGGTCGTCGAATGGGAGGTCGTCGAAGTCAAGCTCTTCGACTTGAAGGTCGTCGAAGTCAAGGTCGTCGAATTGTAGGTCGTCGAACACAAGGTCGTCGGTTGAAATGTCTTTAAACTCGAGGTCATCGAAGTCAAGGTCGTCCAACACGAGGTCATCGAAGTCAAGGTCGTCGAAGTCCACGTCGTCGAACTGAAGATTGACAAAGTCAAGATCTTCGAAGTCATGGTCACCAAAGTCGAGGTCGTCGAGCTGAAGTTTGCCAAAGTCAAGGTCGTCAAAGTCAAGGTAACCGAAGTCGAGGTCGTCGAATTAGAGGTCGTCAAAGTCAAGGTCGTCGAACTGGAGTTTGCTAAAGTCAAGGTCGTCGAAGTCAAGGTAACCGAATTTGAGGTCGTCGATTTAGAGGACGTTGAAGTCAAGGTCGTCGAACTGAAGTTTGCCAAAGTCAAGGTCGTCGAAGTCAAGGTAACCGAAGTCGAGGTCGTCGAATAAGAGGTTGTCGAATTTGAGGTCGTCGAAGTCATGGTCACCAAAGTCGAGGTCGTCGAGCTGAAGTTTGGCAAAGTCAAGGTCGTCGAAGTCAAGGTAACCGAAGTCGAGGTCGTCGAATAAGAGGATGTCGAATTTGAGGTCGTCGAAGTCAAGGTAACCGAAGTCGAGGTTGTCGAGCTGAAGTTTGGCAAAGTCAAGGTCGTTGAAGGCAAGGTCAAATCAAGCCGAGGTCGTCAGAATGAAGGTCTTTGAAATAAAGGTCGTCAAAGTCAAGCTCTTCGACTTGGAGGTCGTCAAAGTCGAGGTCGTCGATTTGAAGGTCGTCGAACCCGAGGACGTCGAATGAACTGTCGTCGAAATTGGAGGTCGTCTAGGTCAAGGTCGTCGAACCCGATCTCGTCGGATTATAGATCTGTAAACTCGAGGTTGTCGAGCTCGAGGTCGTCGAATGAAAAGTTGTCCGATTAAAGGTCGTCGAACTTAAGGTCGTCAAATGAAGGGTCGTCGAATTAGAAGTCGTCGAATTTGAGGTCTTCGAATTTGAGGTCGTCGAAGTCATGGTCACATAAGTCGAGGTCGTCGAACTGAAGCTTGGTAAAGTCAAGGTCGTCGAAGTCAAGGTAACCGAAGCCGATGACGTCGAATTGGAGGTCGTCGAATTTGAGGTCGTCGAAGTCATGGTCACCAAAGTCGAGGTCGTCGAGCTGAAGTTTGGCAAAGTCAAGGTCGTTGAAGGCAAGGTCGTCAAATCAAGGAGGTCGTCAGAATGAAGGTTTTGAAATTAGAGGTCGTCGAAGTCAAGCTCTTCGACTTGAAGGTCGTCGAAGTCGAGGTCGTCGATTTGAAGGTCGTCGAACCCGAGGACGTCGAATGAACTGTCGTCGAAATTGGAGGTCGTTTAGGTCAAGGTAGTCGAACCCGATCTCGTCGGATTAAAGATCTGTAAACTCGAGGTTGTCGAGCTCGAGGTCGTCGAATGAAAAGTTGTCCGATTAAAGGTCGTCGAACTTAAGGTCGTCGAATGAAGGGTCGTCGAATTAGAAGTCGTCGAATTTGAGGTCGTCGAATTTGAGGTCGTCGAAGTCAGGGTCACATAAGTCGAGGTCGTCGAACTGAAGCTTGGTAAAGTCAAGGTCGTCGAAGGCAAGGTAACCGAAGCCGATGACGTCGAATTGGAGGTCGTCGAATGGGAGGTCGTCGAAGTCAAGCTCTTCGACTTGAAGGTCGTCGAAGTCAAGGTCGTCGAATTGTAGGTCGTCGAACACAAGGTCGTCGGTTGAAATGTCTTTAAACTCGAGGTCATCGAAGTCAAGGTCGTCCAACTCGAGGTCATCGAAGTCAAGGTCGTCGAAGTCCAGGTCGTCGAACTGAAGATTGACAAAGTCAAGATCTTCGAAGTCATGGTCATCAAAGTCGAGGTCGTCGAGCTGAAGTTTGCCAAAGTCAAGGTCGTCAAAGTCAAGGTAGCCGAAGTCGAGGTCGTCGAATTAGAGGTCGTCAAAGTCAAGGTCGTCGAACTGGAGTTTGCTAAAGTCAAGGTCGTCGAAGTCAAGGTAACCGAATTTGAGGTCGTCGATTTAGAGGTCGTTGAAGTCAAGGTCGTCGAACTGAAGTTTGTCAAAGTCAAGGTCGTCGAAGTCAAGGTAACCGAAGTCGAGGTCGTCGAATTAGAGGTCGTCGAATTTGAGGTCGTCGAAGTCATGGTCACCAAAGTCGAGGTCGTCGAGCTGAAGTTGGAAAGTCAAGGTCGTCGAAGTCAAGGTAACCGAAGTCGAGGTCGTCGAATTAGAGGTCGTCGAATTTGAGGTCGTCGAAGTCAAGGTAAGCGAAGTCGAGGTTGTCGAGCTGAAGGTTGGCAAAGTCAAGGTCGTTGAAGTCAAGGTCGTCAAATCAGAGGTCGTCAAATTGAAGGTTGTCAAATTGGAGGTCGTCGAAGTCAAGCTCTTCGACTTGAAGGTCGTCGAAGTCGAGGTCGTCGAGTTGAAGGTCGTCGAACCCGAGGACGTCGAATGAACTGTCGTCGAAATTGGAGGTCGTTTTAGTCAAGGTAGTTGAACCCGATCTCGTCGGATTAAAGATCTGTAAACTCGAGGTTGTCGAGCTCGAGGTCGTCGAATGAAAAGTTGTCCGATTAAAGGTCGTCGAACTTAAGGTCGTCGAATGAAAGGTCGTCGAATTAGAAGTCGTCGAATTTGAGGTCGTCGAATTTGATGTCGTCGAAGTCATGGTCACATAAGTCGAGGTCGTCGAACTGAAGCTTGGTAAAGTCAAGGTCGTCGAAGGCAAGGTAACCGAAGCCGATGACGTCGAATTGGAGGTCGTCGAATGGGAGGTCGTCGAAGTCATGGTCACCGAAGTCAAGGTCTTCGAGCTGGAGGTTGGCAAAGTCAACAAATGTAAGGGAGGAGGTCGTTGAAGGCAAGGTAAATCAAAGCCGAGGTCGTCAAAATGAAGGTTTTGAAATTGAAGGTCGTCAAAGTCAAGCTCTTCGACTTGAAGGTCGTCGAAGTCGAGGTCGTCGAGTTGAAGGTCGTCGAACCCGAGGACGTCGAATGAACTGTCGTCGAAATTGGAGGTCGTTTTAGGTCAAGGTAGTTGAACCCGATCTCGTCGGATTAAAGATCTGTAAACTCGAGGTTGTCGAGCTCGAGGTCGTCGAATGAAAAGTTGTCCGATTAAAGGTCGTCGAACTTAAGGTCGTCGAATGAAAGGTCGTCGAATTAGAAGTCGTCGAATTTGAGGTCGTCGAATTTGAGGTCGTCGAAGTCATGGTCACATAAGTCGAGGTCGTCGAACTGAAGCTTGGTAAAGTCAAGGTCGTCGAAGGCAAGGTAACCGAAGCCGATGACGTCGAATTGGAGGTCGTCGAATGGGAGGTCGTCGAAGTCAAGCTCTTCGACTTGAAGGTCGTCGAAGCCAAGGACGTCGAACTGGCGGTTGTCGAAGCCAAGGAGGCGAACTGGCGGTTGTCAAAGCCGAGGTCGTCGAATTGGAGGTCGTTCAAGTCAAGGTCGTCAAATCAGAGGTCGTCAAATTGAAGGTTGTCAAATTGGAGGTCGTCGAAGTCAAGCTCTTCGACTTGAAGGTCGTCGAAGTCAAGGTCGTCGAATTGTAGGTCGTCGAACCCAAGGACGTCGTTGAACTGTCAAACTCGGGTCGTCGAAGTCAAGGTCGTCCAACCGATCTGATCAATCGTCGAATCCACGTCGTCGAACTGAAGTTGAAGTCTCGAATTGGTCCCAAAGTCGAGGTCGTCGAGCTGAGTTTGCCAAGTCGGTGTCAATCGTGAAGTCGAGGTCGTCGAATTAGAGTCGTCAAAGTCAAGGTCGTCGAACTGGGTTGCGGTGTGAATCGGTCGTGAGTCGTCATTGAGGTGAATCAGTCGTCGAACTGAAGTGCCAAATCAAGGTCGTCGAATCAAGTCGAAGTCGAGGTCGTCGAATAAGAGGTTGTCGAATTTGAGGTCGTCGAATCATGGTCACCAAAGTCGAGGTCGTCGAGCTGAAGTTTGGCAAAGTCAAGGTCGTCGAAGTCAAGGTAACCGAAGTCGAGGTCGTCGAATTAGAGGTCGTCGAAGTCAAGGTCGTCGAACTGAAGTTTGCAAAGTCAAGGTCGTCGAAGTCAAGGTAATCGAATTGAGGTCGTCGAATTTGAGGTCGTCGAATTTGAGGTCGTCGAAGTCATGGTCACATAAGTCGAGGTCGTCGAACTGAAGCTTGGTAAAGTCAAGGTCGTCGAAGGCAAGGTAACCGAAGCCGATGACGTCGAATTGGAGGTCGTCGAATTGGAGGTCGTCAAAGTCAAGCTCTTCGACTTGAAGGTCGTCGAAGTCAAGGTCTTCGAACTGGCGGTTGGCAAAGCCAAGGACGTCGAACTGGCGGTTGTCGAAGCCAAGAAGGCGAACTGGCGGTTGTCAAAGCCGAGGTCGTCGAATTGGAGGTCGTTCAAGTCAAGGTCGTCAAATCAGAGGTCGTCAAATTGAAGGTTGTCAAATTGGAGGTCGTCGAAGTCAAGCTCTTCGACTTGAAGGTCGTCGAAGTCGAGGTCGTCGAGTTGAAGGTCGTCGAACCCGAGGACGTCGAATGAACTGTCGTCGAAATTGGAGGTCGTTTTAGTCAAGGTAGTTGAACCCGATCTCGTCGGATTAAAGATCTGTAAACTCGAGGTTGTCGAGCTCGAGGTCGTCGAATGAAAAGTTGTCCGATTAAAGGTCGTCGAACTTAAGGTCGTCGAATGAAAGGTCGTCGAATTAGAAGTCGTCGAATTTGAGGTCGTCGAATTTGATGTCGTCGAAGTCATGGTCACATAAGTCGAGGTCGTCGAACTGAAGCTTGGTAAAGTCAAGGTCGTCGAAGGCAAGGTAACCGAAGCCGATGACGTCGAATTGGAGGTCGTCGAATGGGAGGTCGTCAAAGTCAAGCTCTTCGACTTGAAGGTCGTCGAAGTCAATCTTCACGCGGTGGCAAGCCAAGGACGTCGAACTGGCGGTTGTCGAAGCCAAGGAGGCGAACTGGCGGTTGTCAAAGCCGAGGTCGTCGAATTGGAGGTCGTTCAAGTCAAGGTCGTCAAATCAGAGGTCGTCAAATTGAAGGTTGTCAAATTGGAGGTCGTCGAAGTCAAGCTCTTCGACTTGAAGGTCGTCGAAGTCAAGGTCGTCGAATTGTAGGTCGTCGAACCCAAGGTCGTCGGTTGAAATGTCTTTAAACTCGAGGTCATCGAAGTCAAGGTCGTCCAACTCGAGGTCTTTGAAGTCAAGGTCGTCGAACTCCACGTCGTCGAACTGAAGATTGACAAAGTCAAGATCTTCGAAGTATGGTCACCAAAGTCGAGGTCGTCGAGCTGAAGTTTGCAAAGTCAAGGTCGTCAAAGTCAAGGTAACCGAAGTCGAGGTCGTCGAATTAGAGGTCGTCAAAGTCAAGGTCGTCGAACTGGAGTTTGCTAAAGTCAAGGTCGTCGAAGTCAAGGTAACGAATTTGAGGTCGTCAATTTAGAGGAGTTGAAGTCAAGGTCGTCGAACTGAAGTTTGCAAAGTCAAGGTCGTCGAAGTCAAGGTAACCGAAGTCGAGGTCGTCGAATAAGAGGTCGTCGAATTTGAGGTCGTCGAAGTCATGGTCACAAAGTCGAGGTCGTCGAGCTGAAGTTTGGCAAAGTCAAGGTCGTCGAAGTCAAGGTAACCGAATTTGAGGTCGTCAATTTAGAGGTCGTTGAAGTCAAGGTCGTCGAACTGAAGTTTGCCAAAGTCAAGGTCGTCGAAGTCAAGGTAACCGAAGTCGAGGTCGTCGAATAAGAGGTTGTCGAATTTGAGGTCGTCGAAGTCATGGTCACCAAAGTCGAGGTCGTCGAGCTGAAGTTTGGCAAAGTCAAGGTCGTTGAAGTCAAGGTAAATCAAGAGGTCGTCAGAATGAAGGTCTTTGAAATAGAGGTCGTCAAAGTCAAGCTCTTCGACTTGGAGGTCGTCGAAGTCGAGGTCGTCGATTTGAAGGTCGTCGAACCCGAGGACGTCGAATGAACTGTCGTCGAAATTGGAGGTCGTCTAGGTCAAGGTAGTTGAACCCGATCTCGTCGGATTAAAGATCTGTAAACTCGAGGTTGTCGAGCTCGAGGTCGTCGAATGAAAAGTTGTCCGATTAAAGGTCGTCGAACTTAAGGTCGTCGAATGAAGGGTCGTCGAATTAGAAGTCGTCGAATTTGAGGTCTTCGAATTTGAGGTCGTCGAAGTCATGGTCACATAAGTCGAGGTCGTCGAACTGAAGCTTGGTAAAGTCAAGGTAACCGAAGTCGATGTCGTCGAATTGGAGGTCGTCGAATTTGAGGTCGTCGAAGTCATGGTCACCAAAGTCGAGGTCGTCGAGCTGAAGTTTGGCAAAGTCAAGGTCGTTCAAGGCAAGGTCCAAATCAAGCCGAGGTCGTCAGAATGAAGGTCTTTGAAATAGAGGTCGTCAAAGTCAAGCTCTTCGACTTGGAGGTCGTCGAAGTCGAGGTCGTCGATTTGAAGGTCGTCGAACCCGAGGACGTCGAATGAACTGTCGTCGAAATTGGAGGTCGTTTAGGTCAAGGTAGTCGAACCCGATCTCGTCGGATTAAAGATCTGTAAACTCGAGGTTGTCGAGCTCGAGGTCGTCGAATGAAAAGTTGTCCGATTAAAGGTCGTCGAACTTAAGGTCGTCGAATGAAAGGTCGTCGAATTAGAAGTCGTCGAATTTGAGGTCGTCGAATTTGAGGTCGTCGAAGTCATGGTCACATAAGTCGAGGTCGTCGAACTGAAGCTTGGTAAAGTCAAGGTCGTCGAAGGCAAGGTAACCGAAGCCGATGACGTCGAATTGGAGGTCGTCGAATGGGAGGTCGTCGAAGTCAAGCTCTTCGACTTGAAGGTCGTCGAAGTCAAGGTCTTCGAACTGGCGGTTGGCAAAGCCAAGGACGTCGAACTGGCGGTTGTCGAAGCCGAGGATCGTCAAATTGGAGGTCGTTCAAGTCAAGGTCGTCAAATCAGAGGTCGTCAAATTGAAGGTTGTCAAATTGGAGGTCGTCGAAGTCAAGCTCTTCGACTTGAAGGTCGTCGAAGTCAAGGTCGTCGAATTGTAGGTCGTCGAACCCAAGGTCGTCGGTTGAAATATCTTTAAACTCGAGGTCATCGAAGTCAAGGTCGTCCAACTCGAGGTCTTTGAAGTCAAGGTCGTCGAAGTCCACGTCGTCGAACTGAAGATTGACAAAGTCAAGATCTTCGAAGTCATGGTCACCAAAGTCGAGGTCGTCGAGCTGAAGTTTGCCAAAGTCAAGGTCGTCAAAGTCAAGGTAACCGAAGTCGAGGTCGTCGAATTAGAGGTCGTCAAAGTCAAGGTCGTCGAACTGGAGTTTGCTAAAGTCAAGGTCGTCGAAGTCAAGGTAACCGAATTTGAGGTCGTCGAATTTGGAGGTCGTCGAAGTCAAGGTCGTCGAACTGAAGTTTGCCAAAGTCAAGGTCGTCGAAGTCAAGGTAACCGAAGTCGAGGTCGTCGAATAAGAGGTTGTCGAATTTGAGGTCGTCGAAGTCATGGTCACCAAAGTCGAGGTCGTCGAGCTGAAGTTTGGCAAAGTCAAGGTCGTTGAAGGCAAGGTAAATCAAGCCGAGGTCGTCAGAATGAAGGTCTTTGAAATAAAGGTCGTCAAAGTCAAGCTCTTCGACTTGGAGGTCGTCAAAGTCGAGGTCGTCGATTTGAAAGTCGTCGAACCCGAGGACGTCGAATGAACTGTCGTCGAAATTGGAGGTCGTCGAGGTCAAGGTCGTCGAACCCGATGTCGTCGGATTAAAGATCTGTAAACTCGAGGTTGTCGAGCTCGAGGTCGTCGAATGAAAAGTTGTCCGATTAAAGGCCGTCGAACTTAAGGTCGTCAAATTCAAGGTCGTCGAATTAGAAGTCGTCGAATTTGAGGTCGTCGAATTTGAGGTCGTCGAAGTCAGGGTCACATAAGTCGAGGTCGTCGAACTGAAGCTTGGTAAAGTCAAGGTCGTCGAAGGCAAGGTAACCGAAGCCGATGACGTCGAATTGGAGGTCGTCGAATGGGAGGTCGTCGAAGTCAAGCTCTTCGACTTGAAGGTCGTCGAAGTCAAGGTCGTCGAATTGTAGGTCGTCGAACACAATGTCGTCGTTGAAATGTCTTTAAACTCGAGGTCATCGAAGTTAAGGTCGTCCAACACGAGGTCATCGAAGTCAAGGTCGTCGAAGTCCAGGTCGTCGAACTGAAGATTGACAAAGTCAAGATCTTCGAAGTCATGGTCACCAAAGTCGAGGTCGTCGAGCTGAAGTTTGCCAAAGTCAAGGTCGTCAAAGTCAAGGTAACCGAAGTCGAGGTCGTCGAATTAGAGGTCGTCAAAGTCAAGGTCGTCGAACTGAAGTTTGCTAAAGTCAAGGTCGTCGAAGTCAAGGTAACCGAATTTGAGGTCGTCAATTTAGAGGACGTTGAAGTCAAGGTCGTCGAACTGAAGTTTGCCAAAGTCAAGGTCGTCGAAGTCAAGGTAACCGAAGTCGAGGTCGTCGAATAAGAGGTTGTCGAATTTGAGGTCGTCGAAGTCATGGTCACCAAAGTCGAGGTCGTCGAGCTGAAGTTTGGCAAAGTCAAGGTCGTTGAAGGCAAGGTAAATCAAGCCGAGGTCGTCAGAATGAAGGTCTTTGAAATAAAGGTCGTCAAAGTCAAGCTCTTCGACTTGGAGGTCGTCAAAGTCGAGGTCGTCGATTTGAAGGTCGTCGAACCCGAGGACGTCGAATGAACTGTCGTCGAAATTGGAGGTCATCGAGGTCAAGGTCGTCGAACCCGATGTCGTCGGATTAAAGATCTGTAAACTCGAGGTTGTCGAGTTCGAGGTCGTCGAATGATAAGTTGTCCGATTAAAGGTCGTCGAACTTAAGGTCGTCGAATTAGAAGTCGTCGAATTTGAGGTCTTCGAATTTGAGGTCGTCGAAGCAGGGTCACATAAGTCGAGGTCGTCGAACTGAAGCTTGGTAAAGTCAAGGTCGTTGAAGGCAAGGTAAATCAAGCCGAGGTCGTCAGAATGAAGGTCTTTGAAATAAAGGTCGTCAAAGTCAAGCTCTTCGACTTGGAGGTCGTCAAAGTCGAGGTCGTCGATTTGAAGGTCGTCGAACCCGAGGACGTCGAATGAACTGTCGTCGAAATTGGAGGTCGTCGAGGTCAAGGTCGTCGAACCCGATGTCGTCGGATTAAAGATCTGTAAACTCGAGGTTGTCGAGTTCGAGGTCGTCGAATGAAAAGTTGTCCGATTAAAGGCCGTCGAACTTAAGGTCGTCGAATTCAAGGTCGTCGAATTAGAAGTCGTCGAATTTGAGGTCTTCGAATTTGAGGTCGTCGAAGTCATGGTCACATAAGTCGAGGTCGTCGAACTGAAGCTTGGTAAAGTCAAGGTCGTCGAAGGCAAGGTAACCGAAGCCGACGACGTCGAATTGGAGGTCGTCGAATGGGAGGTCGTCGAAGTCAAGGTCTTCGACTTGAAGGTCGTCGAAGTCAAGGACGTCGAACTGGCGGTTGGCGAAGCCAAGGTCGTCGGTTGAAATATCTTTAAACTCGAGGTCATCGAAGTCAAGGTCGTCCAACTCGAGGTCATCGAAGTCAAGGTCGTCGAAGTCCACGTCGTCGAACTGAAGATTGACAAAGTCAAGATCTTCGAAGTCATGGTCACCAAAGTCGAGGTCGTCGAGCTGAAGTTTGCCAAAGTCAAGGTCGTCAAAGTCAAGGTAACCGAAGTCGAGGTCGTCGAATTAGAGGTCGTCAAAGTCAAGGTCGTCGAACTGGAGTTTGCTAAAGTCAAGGTCGTCGAAGTCAAGGTAACCGAAGTCGAGGTCGTCGAATAAGAGGTTGTCGAATTTGAGGTCGTCGAAGTCATGGTCTCCAAAGTCGAGGTCGTCGAGCTGAAGTTTGGCAAAGTCAAGGTCGTTGAAGGCAAGGTAAATCAAGCCGAGGTCGTCAGAATGAAGGTCTTTGAAATAAAGGTCGTCAAAGTCAAGCTCTTCGACTTGGAGGTCGTCAAAGTCGAGGTCGTCGATTTGAAGGTCGTCGAACCCGAGGACGTCGAATGAACTGTCGTCGAAATCGGAGGTGGTTTAAGTTAAGGTAGTCGAACCCGATCTCGTCGGATTAAAGATCTGTAAACTCGAGGTTGTCGAGTTCGAGGTCGTCGAATGAAAAGCTGTCCGATTAAAGGCCGTCGAACTTAAGGTCGTCGAATTCAAGGTCGTCGAATTAGAAGTCGTCGAATTTGAGGTCGTCGAATTTGAGGTCGTCGAATTTGAGGTCGTCGAAAGCAGGGTCACATAAGTCAAGGTCGTCGAACTGAAGCTTGGTAAAGTCAAGGTCGTTGAAGGCAAGGTAAATCAAGCCGAGGTCGTCAGAATGAAGGTCTTTGAAATAAAGGTCGTCAAAGTCAAGCTCTTCGACTTGGAGGTCGTCAAAGTCGAGGTCGTCGATTTGAAGGTCGTCGAACCCGAGGACGTCGAATGAACTGTCGTCGAAATCGGAGGTTGTTTAAGTTAAGGTAGTCGAACCCGATCTCGTCGGATACTAGATCTGTAAACTCGAGGTTGTAGAGTTCGAGGTCGTCGAATGATAAGTTGTCCGATTAAAGGCCGTCGAACTTAAGGTCGTCAAATGAAGGGTCGTCGAATTAGAAGTCGTCGAATTTGAGGTCTTCGAATTTGAGGTCGTCGAAGTCATGGTCACATAAGTCGAGGTCGTCGAACTGAAGCTTGGTAAAGTCAAGGTCGTCGAAGGCAAGGTAACCGAAGCCGACGACGTCGAATTGGAGGTCGTCGAATGGGAGGTCGTCGAAGTCAAGCTCTTCGACTTGAAGGTCGTCGAAGTCAAGGTCGTCGAATTGTAGGTCGTCGAACACAAGGTCGTCGGTTGAAATATCTTTAAACTCGAGGTCATCGAAGTCAAGGTCGTCCAACACGAGGTCATCGAAGTCAAGGTCGTCGAGGTCCACGTCGTCGAACTGAAGATTGACAAAGTCAAGATCTTCGAAGTCATGGTCACCAAAGTCGAGGTCGTCGAGCTGAAGTTTGCCAAAGTCAAGGTCGTCAAAGTCAAGGTCACCAAAGTCGAGGTCGTCGAATTAGAGGTCGTCAAAGTCAAGATCTTCGACTTGGAGGTTGTCCAAATCAAGGTCTTCGAAACGGCGGTTGGCGAAGCCAAGCTTGTCAAATTATAGGCCGTCGAAGTCAAGGTCTTCGAATTGAAGTTCGTTGGAAACAAGGTCTTCGAACTGGCGGTTGTCGAAGCCGAGAACGTCGAAATGAAGGTCGTCCAACTGGATGTCGTCGAATCCTAGGTCGCCGAATTAGGGTTTGTCGAAGTCGAAGTCTTCGAAGGCAAGGTCGTCAAATCAGAGGTCGTCAAATTGAAGGTTGTCAAATTGGAGGTCGTCGAAGTCAAGCTCTTCGACTTGAAGGTCGTCGAAGTCAAGGTCGTCGAATTGTAGGTCGTCGAACACAAGGTCGTCGGTTGAAATATCTTTAAACTCGAGGTCATCGAAGTCAAGGTCGTCCAACTCGAGGTCTTTGAAGTCAAGGTCGTCGAAGTCCACGTCGTCGAACTGAAGATTGACAAAGTCAAGATCTTCGAAGTCATCGTCACCAAAGTCGAGGTCGTCGAGCTGAAGTTTGCCAAAGTCAAGGTCGTCAAAGTCAAGGTAACCGAAGTCGAGGTCGTCGAATTAGAGGTCGTCAAAGTCAAGGTCGTCGAACTGGAGTTTGCTAAAGTCAAGGTCGTCGAAGTCAAGGTAACCGAATTTGAGGTCGTCGAAGTCATGGTCACCAAAGTCGAGGTCGTCGAACTGAAGTTTGGCAAAGTCAAGGTCGTCGAAGTCAAGGTAACCGAAGTCGAGGTCGTCGAATAAGAGGTTGTCGAATTTGAGGTCGTCGAAGTCATGGTCACCAAAGTCGAGGTCGTCGAGCTGAAGTTTGGCAAAGTCAAGGTCGTTGAAGGCAAGGTAAATCAAGCCGAGGTCGTCAGAATGAAGGTCTTTGAAATAAAGGTCGTCAAAGTCAAGCTCTTCGACTTGGAGGTCGTCAAAGTCGAGGTCGTCGATTTGAAAGTCGTCGAACCCGAGGACGTCGAATGAACTGTCGTCGAAATCGGAGGTCGTCGAGGTCAAGGTCGTCGAACCCGATGTCGTCGGATTAAAGATCTGTAAACTCGAGGTTGTCGAGTTCGAGGTCGTCGAATGATAAGCTGTCCGATTAAAGGCCGTCGAACTTAAGGTTGTCAAATGAAGGGTCGTCGAATTAGAAGTCGTCGAATTTGAGGTCTTCGAATTTGAGGTCGTCGAAGTCATGGTCACATAAGTCGAGGTCGTCGAACTGAAGCTTGGTAAAGTCAAGGTCGTCGAAGGCAAGGTAACCGAAGCCGATGACGTCGAATTGGAGGTCGTCGAATGGGAGGTCGTCGAAGTCAAGCTCTTCGACTTGAAGGTCGTCGAAGTCAAGGTCGTCGAATTGTAGGTCGTCGAACACAAGGTCGTCGGTTGAAATGTCTTTAAACTCGAGGTCATCGAAGTCAAGGTCGTCCAACACGAGGTCATCGAATTCAAGGTCGTCGAAGTCCACGTCGTCGAACTGAAGATTGACAAAGTCAAGATCTTCGAAGTCATGGTCACCAAAGTCGAGGTCGTCGAGCTGAAGTTTGCCAAAGTCAAGGTCGTCAAAGTCAAGGTCACCAAAGTCGAGGTCGTCGAATTAGAGGTCGTCAAAGTCAAGATCTTCGACTTGGAGGTTGTCCAAATCAAGGTCTTCGAAACGGCGGTTGGCGAAGCCAAGCTTGTCAAATTATAGGCCGTCGAAGTCAAGGTCTTCGAATTGAAGTTCGTTGGAAACAAGGTCTTCGAACTGGCGGTTGTCGAAGCCGAGAACGTCGAAATGAAGGTCGTCCAACTGGATGTCGTCGAATCCTAGGTCGTCGAATTAGGGTTTGTCGAAGTCGAAGTCTTCGAAGGCAAGGTCGTCAAATCAGAGGTCGTCAAATTGAAGGTTGTCAAATTGGAGGTCGTCGAAGTCAAGCTCTTCGACTTGAAGGTCGTCGAAGTCAAGGTCGTCGAATTGTAGGTCGTCGAACACAAGGTCGTCGGTTGAAATATCTTTAAACTCGAGGTCATCGAAGTCAAGGTCGTCCAACTCGAGGTCTTTGAAGTCAAGGTCGTCGAAGTCCACGTCGTCGAACTGAAGATTGACAAAGTCAAGATCTTCGAAGTCATGGTCACCAAAGTCGAGGTCGTCGAGCTGAAGTTTGCCAAAGTCAAGGTCGTCAAAGTCAAGGTAACCGAAGTCGAGGTCGTCGAATTAGAGGTCGTCAAAGTCAAGGTCGTCGAACTGAAGTTTGCTAAAGTCAAGGTCGTCGAAGTCAAGGTAACCGAAGTCGAGGTCGTCGATTTAGAGGACGTTGAAGTCAAGGTCGTCGAACTGAAGTTTGCCAAAGTCAAGGTCGTCAAAGTCAAGGTAACCGAAGTCGAGGTCGTCGAATTAGAGGTCGTCAAAGTCAAGATCTTTGACTTGGAGGCTGTCCAAATCAAGGTCTTCGAAACGGCGGTTGGCGAAGCCAAGCTTGTCAAATTATAGGCCGTCGAAGTCAAGGTCTTCGAATTGAAGTTCGTTGGAAACAAGATCTTCGAACTGGCGGTTGTCGAAGCCGAGAACGTCGAAATGAAGGTCGTCCAACTGGATGTCGTCGAATCCTAGGTCGTCGAATTAGGGTTTGTCGAAGTCGAAGTCTTCGAAGGCAAGGTCGTCAAATCAGAGGTCGTCAAATTGAAGGTTGTCAAATTGGAGGTCGTCGAAGTCAAGCTCTTCGACTTGAAGGTCGTCGAAGTCAAGGTCGTCGAATTGTAGGTCGTCGAACACAAGGTCGTCGGTTGAAATATCTTTAAACTCGAGGTCATCGAAGTCAAGGTCGTCCAACACGAGGTCATCGAAGTCAAGGTCGTCGAAGTCCACGTCGTCGAACTGAAGATTGACAAAGTCAAGATCTTCGAAGTCATCGTCACCAAAGTCGAGGTCGTCGAGCTGAAGTTTGCCAAAGTCAAGGTCGTCAAAGTCAAGGTAACCGAAGTCGAGGTCGTCGAATTAGAGGTCGTCAAAGTCAAGGTCGTCGAACTGGAGTTTGCTAAAGTCAAGGTCATCAAAGTCAGGGTAACCGAAGTCGAGGTCGTCGAAGTCATGGTCACCAAAGTCGAGGTCGTCGAACTGAAGTTTGGCAAAGTCAAGGTCGTCGAAGTCAAGGTAACCGAAGCCGAGGTCGTCGAATTAGAGGACGTTGAAGTCAAATTGTCGAACTGAAGTTTGCCAAAGTCAAGGTCGTCGAAGTCAAGGTAACCGAAGTCGAGGTCGTCGAATAAGAGGTTGTCGAATTTGAGGTCGTCGAAGTCATGGTCACCAAAGTCGAGGTCGTCGAGCTAAAGTTTGGCAAAGTCAAGGTCGTTGAAGGCAAGGTAAATCAAGCCGAGGTCGTCAGAATGAAGGTCTTTGAAATAAAGGTCGTCAAAGTCAAGCTCTTCGACTTGGAGGTCGTCAAAGTCGAGGTCGTCGATTTGAAGGTCGTCGAACCCGAGGACGTCGAATGAACTGTCGTCGAAATTGGAGGTCGTCGAGGTCAAGGTCGTCGAACCCGATGTCGTCGGATAATAGATCTGTAAACTCGAGGTTGTCGAGCTCGAGGTCGTCGAATGATAAGCTGTCCGATTAAAGGCCGTCGAACTTAAGGTCGTCAAATGAAGGGTCGTCGAATTAGAAGTCGTCGAATTTGAGGTCTTCGAATTTGAGGTCGTCGAAGTCATGGTCACATAAGTCGAGGTCGTCGAACTGAAGCTTGGTAAAGTCAAGGTCGTCGAAGGCAAGGTAACCGAAGCCGATGACGTCGAATTGAAGGTCGTCGAATGGGAGGTCGTCGAAGTCAAGCTCTTCGACTTGAAGGTCGTCGAAGTCAAGGTCGTCGAATTGTAGGTCGTCGAACACAAGGTCGTCGGTTGAAATATCTTTAAACTCGAGGTCATCGAAGTCAAGGTCGTCCAACACGAGGTCATCGAATTCAAGGTCGTCGAGGTCCACGTCGTCGAACTGAAGATTGACAAAGTCAAGATCTTCGAAGTCATGGTCACCAAAGTCGAGGTCGTCGAGCTGAAGTTTGCCAAAGTCAAGGTCGTCAAAGTCAAGGTCACCAAAGTCGAGGTCGTCGAATTAGAGGTCGTCAAAGTCAAGATCTTCGACTTGGAGGTTGTCCAAATCAAGGTCTTCGAAACGGCGGTTGGCGAAGCCAAGCTTGTCAAATTATAGCCGTTGAAGTCAAGGTCTTCGAATTGAAGTTCGTTGGAAACAAGGTCTTCGAACTGGCGGTTGGCAAAGCCGAGAACGTCGAAATGAAGGTCGTCCAACTGGATGTCGTCGAATCCTAGGTCGTCGAATTAGGGTTTGTCGAAGTCGAAGTCTTCGAAGGCAAGGTCGTCAAATCAGAGGTCGTCAAATTGAAGGTTGTCAAATTGGAGGTCGTCGAAGTCAAGCTCTTCGACTTGAAGGTCGTCGAAGTCAAGGTCGTCGAATTGTAGGTCGTCGAACATAAGGTCGTCGGTTGAAATATCTTTAAACTCGAGGTCATCGAAGTCAAGGTCGTCCAACTCGAGGTCTTTGAAGTCAAGGTCGTCGAAGTCCACGTCGTCGAACTGAAGATTGACAAAGTCAAGATCTTCGAAGTCATGGTCACCAAAGTCGAGGTCGTCGAGCTGAAGTTTGCCAAAGTCAAGGTCGTCAAAGTCAAGGTAACCGAAGTCGAGGTCGTCGAATTAGAGGTCGTCAAAGTCAAGGTCGTCGAACTGAAGTTTGCCAAAGTCAAGGTCGTCGAAGTCAAGGTAACCGAATTCGAGGTCGTCGAATAAGAGGTTGTCGAATTTGAGGTCGTCGAAGTCATGGTTTCCAAAGTCGAGGTCGTCGAGCTGAAGTTTGGCAAAGTCAAGGTCGTTGAAGGCAAGGTAAATCAAGCCGAGGTCGTCAGAATGAAGGTCTTTGAAATAAAGGTCGTCAAAGTCAAGCTCTTCGACTTGGAGGTCGTCAAAGTCGAGGTCGTCGATTTGAAAGTCGTCGAACCCGAGGACATCGAATGGGCTGCCGTCGAAATTGGAGGTCGTCGAGGTCAAGGTCGTCGAACCCGATGTCGTCGGATACTAGATCTGTAAACTCGAGGTTGTCGAGCTCGAGGTCGTCGAATGAAAAGTTGTCCGATTAAAGGCCGTCGAACTTAAGGTCGTCGAATTCAAGGTCGTCGAATTAGAAGTCGTCGAATTTGAGGTCTTCGAATTTGAGGTCGTCGAAGTCATGGTCACCATAAGTCGAGGTCGTCGAACTGAAGTTTGGCAAAGTCAAGGTCGTCGAAGTCAAGGTAACCGAAGCCGAGGTCGTCGAATTAGAGGACGTTGAAGTCAAATTGTCGAACTGAAGTTTGCCAAAGTCAAGGTCGTCGAAGTCAAGGTAACCGAAGTCGAGGTCGTCGAATAAGAGGTTGTCGAATTTGAGGTCGTCGAAGTCATGGTCACCAAAGTCGAGGTCGTCGAGCTAAAGTTTGGCAAAGTCAAGGTCGTTGAAGGCAAGGTAAATCAAGCCGAGGTCGTCAGAATGAAGGTCTTTGAAATAAAGGTCGTCAAAGTCAAGCTCTTCGACTTGGAGGTCGTCAAAGTCGAGGTCGTCGATTTGAAGGTCGTCGAACCCGAGGACGTCGAATGAACTGTCGTCGAAATTGGAGGTCGTCGAGGTCAAGGTCGTCGAACCCGATGTCGTCGGATTAAAGATCTGTAAACTCGAGGTTGTCGAGTTCGAGGTCGTCGAATGATAAGCTGTCCGATTAAAGGCCGTCGAACTTAAGGTCGTCAAATGAAGGGTCGTCGAATTAGAAGTCGTCGAATTTGAGGTCTTCGAATTTGAGGTCGTCGAAGTCATGGTCACATAAGTCGAGGTCGTCGAACTGAAGCTTGGTAAAGTCAAGGTCGTCGAAGGCAAGGTAACCGAAGCCGATGACGTCGAATTGAAGGTCGTCGAATGGGAGGTCGTCGAAGTCAAGCTCTTCGACTTGAAGGTCGTCGAAGTCAAGGTCGTCGAATTGTAGGTCGTCGAACACAAGGTCGTCGGTTGAAATATCTTTAAACTCGAGGTCATCGAAGTCAAGGTCGTCCAACACGAGGTCATCGAATTCAAGGTCGTCGAGGTCCACGTCGTCGAACTGAAGATTGACAAAGTCAAGATCTTCGAAGTCATGGTCACCAAAGTCGAGGTCGTCGAGCTGAAGTTTGCCAAAGTCAAGGTCGTCAAAGTCAAGGTCACCAAAGTCGAGGTCGTCGAATTAGAGGTCGTCAAAGTCAAGATCTTCGACTTGGAGGTTGTCCAAATCAAGGTCTTCGAAACGGCGGTTGGCGAAGCCAAGCTTGTCAAATTATAGCCGTTGAAGTCAAGGTCTTCGAATTGAAGTTCGTTGGAAACAAGGTCTTCGAACTGGCGGTTGGCAAAGCCGAGAACGTCGAAATGAAGGTCGTCCAACTGGATGTCGTCGAATCCTAGGTCGTCGAATTAGGGTTTGTCGAAGTCGAAGTCTTCGAAGGCAAGGTCGTCAAATCAGAGGTCGTCAAATTGAAGGTTGTCAAATTGGGGTTCGTCGAAGTCAAGCTCTTCGACTTGAAGGTCGTCGAAGTCAAGGTCGTCGAATTGTAGGTCGTCGAACACAAGGTCGTCGGTTGAAATATCTTTAAACTCGAGGTCATCGAAGTCAAGGTCGTCCAACTCGAGGTCTTTGAAGTCAAGGTCGTCGAAGTCCACGTCGTCGAACTGAAGATTGACAAAGTCAAGATCTTCGAAGTCATGGTCACCAAAGTCGAGGTCGTCGAGCTGAAGTTTGCCAAAGTCAAGGTCGTCAAAGTCAAGGTAACCGAAGTCGAGGTCGTCGAATTAGAGGTCGTCAAAGTCAAGGTCGTCGAACTGAAGTTTGCCAAAGTCAAGGTCGTCGAAGTCAAGGTAACCGAATTCGAGGTCGTCGAATAAGAGGTTGTCGAATTTGAGGTCGTCGAAGTCATGGTTTCCAAAGTCGAGGTCGTCGAGCTGAAGTTTGGCAAAGTCAAGGTCGTTGAAGGCAAGGTAAATCAAGCCGAGGTCGTCAGAATGAAGGTCTTTGAAATAAAGGTCGTCAAAGTCAAGCTCTTCGACTTGGAGGTCGTCAAAGTCGAGGTCGTCGATTTGAAAGTCGTCGAACCCGAGGACATCGAATGAACTGCCGTCGAAATTGGAGGTCGTCGAGGTCAAGGTCGTCGAACCCGATGTCGTCGGATACTAGATCTGTAAACTCGAGGTTGTCGAGCTCGAGGTCGTCGAATGAAAAGTTGTCCGATTAAAGGCCGTCGAACTTAAGGTCGTCGAATTCAAGGTCGTCGAATTAGAAGTCGTCGAATTTGAGGTCTTCGAATTTGAGGTCGTCGAAGTCATGGTCACATAAGTCGAGGTCGTCGAACTGAAGCTTGGTAAAGTCAAGGTCGTCGAAGGCAAGGTAACCGAAGCCGACGACGTCGAATTGGAGGTCGTCGAATGGGAGGTCGTCAAAGTCAAGGTCTTCGACTTGAAGGTCGTCGAAGTCAAGGTCTTCGAACTGGCGGTTGGCAAAGCCAAGGAGTCGAACTGGCGGTTGTCGAAGCCGAGGATGTCAAATTGGAGGTCGTTCAAGTCAAGGTCGTCAAATCAGAGGTCGTCAAATTGAAGGTTGTCAAATTGGAGTTCGTCGAAGTCAAGCTCTTCGACTTGAAGGTCGTCGAAGTCAAGGTCGTCGAATTGTAGGTCGTCGAACACAAGGTCGTCGGTTGAAATATCTTTAAACTCGAGGTCATCGAAGTCAAGGTCGTCCAACTCGAGGTCTTTGAAGTCAAGGTCGTCGAGGTCCACGTCGTCGAACTGAAGATTGACAAAGTCAAGATCTTCGAAGTCATGGTCACCAAAGTCGAGGTCGTCGAGCTGAAGTTTGCCAAAGTCAAGGTCGTCAAAGTCAAGGTAACCGAAGTCGAGGTCGTCGAATTAGAGGTCGTCAAAGTCAAGGTCGTCGAACTGAAGTTTGCCAAAGTCAAGGTCGTCGAAGTCAAGGTAACCGAAGTCGAGGTCGTCGAATAAGAGGTTGTCGAATTTGAGGTCGTCGAAGTCATGGTTTCCAAAGTCGAGGTCGTCGAGCTGAAGTTTGGCAAAGTCAAGGTCGTTGAAGGCAAGGTAAATCAAGCCGAGGTCGTCAGAATGAAGGTCTTTGAAATAAAGGTCGTCAAAGTCAAGCTCTTCGACTTGGAGGTCGTCAAAGTCGAGGTCGTCGATTTGAAGGTCGTCGAACCCGAGGACATCGAATGAACTGTCGTCGAAATTGGAGGTCGTCGAGGTCAAGGTCGTCGAACCCGATCTCGTCGGATAATAGATCTGTAAACTCGAGGTTGTCGAGCTCGAGGTCGTCGAATGAAAAGTTGTCCGATTAAAGGCCGTCGAACTTAAGGTCGTCAAATAGAGGGTCGTCGAATTAGAAGTCGTCGAATTTGAGGTCTTCGAATTTGAGGTCGTCGAAGTCATGGTCACATAAGTCGAGGTCGTCAAACTGAAGCTTGGTAAAGTCAAGGTCGTCGAAGGCAAGGTAACCGAAGCCGACGACGTCGAATTGGAGGTCGTCGAATGGGAGGTCGTCGAAGTCAAGCTCTTCGACTTGAAGGTCGTCGAAGCCAAGGACGTCGAACTGGAGGTTGGCGAAGCCAAGGAGGCAAACTGGCGGTTGTCAAAGCCGAGGATGTCAAATTGGAGGTCGTTCAAGTCAAGGTCGTCAAATCAGAGGTCGTCAAATTGAAGGTTGTCAAATTGGAGTTCGTCGAAGTCAAGCTCTTCGACTTGAAGGTCGTCGAAGTCAAGGTCGTCGAATTGTAGGTCGTCGAACACAAGGTCGTCGGTTGAAATATCTTTAAACTCGAGGTCATCGAAGTCAAGGTCGTCCAACTCGAGGTCTTTGAAGTCAAGGTCGTCGAAGTCCACGTCGTCGAACTGAAGATTGACAAAGTCAAGATCTTCGAAGTCATGGTCACCAAAGTCGAGGTCGTCGAGCTGAAGTTTGCCAAAGTCAAGGTCGTCGAAGTCAAGGTAACCGAAGTCGAGGTCGTCGATTAGAGGTCGTGAAGTCAAGGTCGTCGAACTGAAGTTTGCAAAGTCAAGGTCGTCGAAGTCAAGGTAACCGAAGTCGAGGTCGTCGATTTAGAGGTCGTCGAAGTCAAGGTCGTCGAACTGAAGTTTGGCAAAGTCAAGGTCGTCGAAGTCAAGGTAACCGAAGTCGAGGTCGTCGAATAAGAGGTTGTCGAATTTGAGGTCGTCGAAGTCATGGTCACCAAAGTCGAGGTCGTCGAGCTGAAGTTTGGCAAAGTCAAGGTCGTTGAAGGCAAGGTAAATCAAGCCGAGGTCGTCAGAATGAAGGTCTTTGAAATAAAGGTCGTCAAAGTCAAGCTCTTCGACTTGGAGGTCGTCAAAGTCGAGGTCGTCGATTTGAAAGTCGTCGAACCCGAGGACATCGAATGAACTGTCGTCGAAATTGGAGGTCGTCGAGGTCAAGGTCGTCGAACCCGATCTCGTCGGATAATAGATCTGTAAACTCGAGGTTGTCGAGCTCGAGGTCGTCGAATGAAAAGTTGTCCGATTAAAGGCCGTCGAACTTAAGGTCGTCGAATTCAAGGGTCGTCGAATTAGAAGTCGTCGAATTTGAGGTCTTCGAATTTGAGGTCGTCGAAGTCATGGTCACATAAGTCGAGGTCGTCGAACTGAAGCTTGGTAAAGTCAAGGTCGTCGAAGGCAAGGTAACCGAAGCCGACGACGTCGAATTGGAGGTCGTCGAATGGGAGGTCGTCGAAGTCAAGGTCTTCGACTTGAAGGTCGTCGAAGCCAAGGACGTCGAACTGGCGGTTGGCGAAGCCAAGGAGGCGAACTGGCGGTTGTCAAAGCCGAGGATGTCAAATTGGAGGTCGTTCAAGTCAAGGTCGTCAAATCAGAGGTCGTCCAATTGAAGGTTGTCAAATTGGAGTTCGTCGGAGTCAAGCTCTTCGACTTGAAGGTCGTCGAAGTCAAGGTCGTCGAATGTAGGTCGTCGAACACAAGGTCGTCGGTTGAAATATCTTTAAACTCGAGGTCATCGAAGTCAAGGTCGTCCAACTCGAGGTCTTTGAAGTCAAGGTCGTCGAAGTCCACGTCGTCGAACTGAAGATTGACAAAGTCAAGATCTTCGAAGTCATGGTCACCAAAGTCGAGGTCGTCGAGCTGAAGTTTGCCAAAGTCAAGGTCGTCAAAGTCAAGGTAACCGAAGTCGAGGTCGTCGAATTAGAGGTCGTCAAAGTCAAGGTCGTCGAACTGAAGTTTGCCAAAGTCAAGGTCGTCGAAGTCAAGGTAACCGAAGTCGAGGTCGTCGAATAAGAGGTTGTCGAATTTGAGGTCGTCGAAGTCATGGTTTCCAAAGTCGAGGTCGTCGAGCTGAAGTTTGGCAAAGTCAAGGTCGTTGAAGGCAAGGTAAATCAAGCCGAGGTCGTCAGAATGAAGGTCTTTGAAATAAAGGTCGTCAAAGTCAAGCTCTTCGACTTGGAGGTCGTCAAAGTCGAGGTCGTCGATTTGAAGGTCGTCGAACCCGAGGACGTCGAATGAACTGTCGTCGAAATTGGAGGTTGTTTAAGTTAAGGTCGTCGAACCCGATGTCGTCGGATACCAGATCTGTAAACTCAAGGTTGTCGAGTTCGAGGTCGTCGAATGAAAAGTTGTCCGATTAAAGGCCGTCGAACTTAAGGTCGTCGAATTCAAGGTCGTCGAATTAGAAGTCGTCGAATTTGAGGTCGTCGAATTTGAGGTCGTCGAAGTCATGGTCACATAAGTCGATGTCGTCGAACTGAAGCTTGGTAAAGTCAAGGTCGTCGAAGGCAAGGTAACCGAAGCCGATGACGTCGAATTGGAGGTCGTCGAATGGGAGGTCGTCGAAGTCAAGGTCTTCGACTTGAAGGTCGTCGAAGTCAAGGTCGTCGAATTGTAGGTCGTCGAACACAAGGTCGTCGGTTGAAATATCTTTAAACTCGAGGTCATCGAAGTCAAGGTCGTCCAACTCGAGGTCTTTGAAGTCAAGGTCGTCGAGGTCCACGTCGTCGAACTGAAGATTGACAAAGTCAAGATCTTCGAAGTCATGGTCACCAAAGTCGAGGTCGTCGAGCTGAAGTTTGCCAAAGTCAAGGTCGTCAAAGTCAAGGTAACCAAAGTCGAGGTCGTCGAATTAGAGGTCGTCAAAGTCAAGATCTTCGACTTGGAGGTTGTCCAAATCAAGGTCTTCGAAACGGCGGTTGGCGAAGCCAAGCTTGTCAAATTATAGGCCGTCGAAGTCAAGGTCTTCGAATTGAAGTTCGTTGGAAACAAGGTCTTCGAACTGGCGGTTGTCGAAGCCGAGAACGTCGAAATGAAGGTCGTCCAACTGGATGTCGTCGAATCCTAGGTCGTCGAATTAGGGTTTGTCGAAGTCGAAGTCTTCGAAGGCAAGGTCGTCAAATCAGAGGTCGTCAAATTGAAGGTTGTCAAATTGGAGGTCGTCGGAGTCAAGCTCTTCGACTTGAAGGTCGTCGAAGTCAAGGTCGTCGAATTGTAGGTCGTCGAACACAAGGTCGTCGGTTGAAATATCTTTAAACTCGAGGTCATCGAAGTCAAGGTCGTCCAACTCGAGGTCATCGAAGTCAAGGTCGTCGAAGGCCACGTCGTCGAACTGAAGATTGACAAAGTCAAGATCTTCGAAGTCATGGTCACCAAAGTCAAGGTCGTCGAACTGAAGTTTGCTAAAGTCAAGGTCGTCGAAGTCAAGGTAACCGAAGTCGAGGTCGTCGATTTAGAGGACGTTGAAGTCAAGGTCGTCGAACTGAAGTTTGCCAAAGTCAAGGTCGTCAAAGTCAAGGTAACCGAAGTCGAGGTCGTCGAATTAGAGGTCGTCAAAGTCAAGGTCGTCGAACTGAAGTTTGCCAAAGTCAAGGTCGTCGAAGTCAAGGTAACCGAAGTCGAGGTCGTCGAATAAGAGGTTGTCGAATTTGAGGTCGTCGAAGTCATGGTCACCAAAGTCGAGGTCGTCGAGCTGAAGTTTGGCAAAGTCAAGGTCGTTGAAGGCAAGGTAAATCAAGCCGAGGTCGTCAGAATGAAGGTCTTTGAAATAAAGGTCGTCAAAGTCAAGCTCTTCGACTTGGAGGTCGTCAAAGTCGAGGTCGTCGATTTGAAAGTCGTCGAACCCGAGGACGTCGAATGAACTGTCGTCGAAATCGGAGGTTGTTTAAGTTAAGGTAGTCGAACCCGATCTCGTCGGATTAAAGATCTGTAAACTCGAGGTTGTCGAGTTCGAGGTCGTCGAATGAAAAGTTGTCCGATTAAAGGCCGTCGAACTTAAGGTCGTCGAATTCAAGGTCGTCGAATTAGAAGTCGTCGAATTTGAGGTCTTCGAATTTGAGGTCGTCGAAGTCATGGTCACATAAGTCGAGGTCGTCGAACTGAAGCTTGGTAAAGTCAAGGTCGTCGAAGGCAAGGTAACCGAAGCCGATGACGTCGAATTGAAGGTCGTCGAATGGGAGGTCGTCGAAGTCAAGGTCTTCGACTTGAAGGTCGTCGAAGTCAAGGTCGTCGAATTGTAGGTCGTCGAACACAAGGTCGTCGGTTGAAATATCTTTAAACTCGAGGTCATCGAAGTCAAGGTCGTCCAACTCGAGGTCTTTGAAGTCAAGGTCGTCGAAGGCCACGTCGTCGAACTGAAGATTGACAAAGTCAAGATCTTCGAAGTCATGGTCACCAAAGTCGAGGTCGTCGAGCTGAAGTTTGCCAAAGTCAAGGTGTGAAGTAGGGTAACCGAAGTCGAGGTCATCGAATTAGAGGTCGTCAAAGTCAAGGTCGTCGAACTGAAGTTTGCCAAAGTCAAGGTCGTCGAAGTCAAGGTAATAGAAGTCGAGGTCGTCGAATTAGAGGACGTCGAAGTCAAGGTCTTCGAATTGGAGGTCTTCGAAGTCAAGTTCTTCAACTTGAAGGTCGTCAAAGTCCAGGTCTTCGAAACGGCGGTTGGCGAAGCCAAGATCGTCAAATTTGAGGCCGTCAAAGTCAAGGTCTTCGAATTGAAGTTCGTTGGAAACAAGGTCTTCAAAATGGCGGTTGTCGAAGCCGAGAACGTCGAATTGAAGGTCGTCCAACTGGATGTCGTCGAATTAGAGGTTTTCGTATGAAAGGTCGTCGAATTTGATGTCGTCGAAGTCATGGTCACATAAGTCGAGGTCGTCGAGCTGAAGTTTGGTAAAGTCAACGTCGTCGAAGGCAAGGCAACCGAAGCAGATAAAGTCGAATTGGAGGTCGTCGAATGGGAGGTCGTCAAAGTCAAGCTCTTCGACTTGAAGGTCGTCGAAGTAAAGGTCGTCCAACTCGAGGTCATCGAAGTCAAGGTCGTCGAAGTCATGGTCACCAAAGTCGAGGTCGTCGAGATGAAGTTTGCCAATGTCAAGGTCGTCAGAGTCAAGGTCACCGAAGTCGAGGTCGTCGGAGCCGATGTCGCTGAATTGGAGGTCGTCGAATCAGAGGTCGTCGAAGTCAACCACTTATACTTGGAGGTCGTTAAAGTCTAGGTTGTTGAAATAAAGGTCGTCGAACCCGAGGCCGTCGAAAAAATTGTCGTCGAAATTAGAGGTCTTCGAAGTCAAGGTCGTCGAACCCGATCTCGTCGGAGTAAAGGTCTATAAACTCATGATCGCCGAGCTCGAGGTCGTCGAATGAAAGGTCGTCGAAGTCAAGGTCGTCGAAGTCATGGTCACCAAAGTCGAGGCGTTCGAACTGAAATTTGCCAAAGAAAAGGTCGTCGAAGGCAGGTAACCGATGCGGACGACGTTGAATTGGAGGTCGTCGAATTGGTGTTCGTCGAAGTCAAGCTCTTCGACTTGGAAGTCGTCGAAGCCTAGGTCGTCGATTTGAAAGTCGTCGAACCCGAGGCCGTCAAATGAACTGTCGTCGAAATTGGAGGTCGTCGAAGTCAAGGTAGCCCAAGCCGAGGTTGTCGAATTGGAGATCGTTGAAATGAAGGTCGTCGAAGTCAAGTTCTTTGACTTGGAGTTCGTCGAAATCTTGGTCGTTGAATTGAAGGTCGTCTAGCCCCAGGCTGTCAAATTAAAGGTCGTCGAAATTGGAGGTCATCGAAGTCAAGGTCGTCGAACTTAAGGTCGACCAACCCGAGGTCGTTGAATTCAAGGTCGTCGAATTAGAGGCCATCGAAATCATGGTCACCAAAGTCGTGGTCGTCAAACTGGAGTTTGCCAAATTCAATGTCGTCGAAGGATAGGTCATTGAACTAGCACTCGTCAAATTGGAGGTCGTCAAACTCAGCGTCGTCGAATTCGAGTTCGTGGAATTGGAGGTCGTCAAAGTCAAGGTCTTCCGATTGCCGGTCGTCAAAGTCAAGGTCTTCCGATTGCAGGTCGTCTTAGTCAAGGTCGACGAAGTCAAGGTCCTCAAACACAAGGTCGTTGAACCCAAGGTCGTAGAATTCAAGGTCTTTAATCGGAGGGCGTCGAATTTGAGGTCGTCAAACTCAAGTTCGTCGAATTCAAGGTCGTTGAAATGGAGGTCGTCGAAGTCAAGGACACCAAATTGAAAGTCGTCTTATTGGAGTTCGTATAACTGGAGGTCGTATAACTGGATGTCGTCGGATTGAAGATCGACGAAGTCAAGGTCGTCGAACTAGAGTTCGTCGAAGTCAAGGTCGTCAAATGCAAGGTCGCCATACCCACGGTTGTCAAATTCAAGGTCTTTAAATTGGATGTTGTCGAAGTCAAGGTCGTCGAATTCGAGGTCGTCAAATCGGAGATCGTTTAAGTCAAGGATACCAAATTGAAGGTCGTTTTATTGGAGGTCGTATAACTGGAGGTCGTCGGAGTCAAGGTCGACGAAGTCAAGATCGTCGAACTCGAGGTCATCGAACTGGACTTCGTCCAACTAGATGTAGTCGAACTGGAGGTCGTCTAATCAGATGTTGTCGAAGTGGAGGTCGTCGACTATAGAGTGCAAGGAGGGTGCAAGAAGATCGACAAAATATTATTGATTTGAGTTTCGTTCAGGTAAAGAGAAGAAGATCAGAGGACCACTCAATTGTCCAGCGATCGGAAAAGAGACAAATTAATAAGTGCAGAATTTTTGGAATACAAGACACGCGTACACTTAAGGTAAGTCCCTGCGTCGGCTAGATGATGCCTGCCGTCGAACCTCGAGAGGCATAGCTTGTAAAGCTATCGACCGGTAGCGCCTATAGTTGAAGAACGCTCAAGTTGGGCAGCACTCGCTACTAGCGAAAGAAGGAGCCCGTCGTTGACGAGCCGTGAAACCTAGTAAAGAAACCGTTGTGAGGCTTGTCAAGTGACAAGCCGGTGACCCAATAGACGGCACTGTTGATAGGCTTGTTGAGCGACAACTCGGTGAGCCTCAGCAGAGAGCACTGTAATCCTTCTAGTCGGGCGGACACTACGCATGGTGACCTGTAAAAAAGTGTGAGCATCGGCTTCCACCCGTTGGTGTGAAGTCACAGGAAGAGAGAGGTTTAGATGCTGCTGGGTTCAGGAAGGCCTCTGGAGGAGTGGTTGTAAGGAATCGGCTAGGCGAGAGCCACAACTGAACTCGAAGGGTTGAACCACGTAGGGCTTCATCCAAACGTACCATCTCGTTGCGCCGACTAAGCTCGGCGATTGTTGTACTTTTACGTTGAGACTGTTATACGACAGAATTAACTAACTATTATACTACTACTGGTGTTGCAACCCGGGATTTCTGGGTGTGTTATTGTTTAGCAGATACCAAGCATTCAACTACGGGCGAAATGGTCATTTATTCGAAACCAGCGAGAGTCGGGATCTCAGCGACTGCTGGGAGATCGTTGCATGCTGGGTCGAACCAGGAAAACAACACTTAAGTGAAGGTGGGAATTAAGTGAGAGTCTGGAATCGACGATTTCGAAGGAGGTGACCAGGTGGAGGAAAAAGAAGACGGAAGTGACGAGTTTGACAAATGAGAAGTACTCGGGGAAGATGAAGAAAAGAGAGTGCTACACGGTTGACATGTGAGTCGCGTACAGGCAATGAAGAAGAAGCATGCACAAGTGGTTAGGGACATAGTGCAAGCTGATCAGGGAAAGGGAGATGACGACGAGCTGAGTTTGGGTGTAGGATAGTTTCAATCAGCCTTCTTCAGGACCCGAATAGATTCTCTACTCCCAGGCAAACCGGCTCCTTCATTGAAATGCTAAAGTGATGAAGAAGAGCAAGTGAATCAAGCAGTTTGACACCGAACGATTCACTTAAGCGAAATGGTCAGGCCTCTGCACCATGTTGAACATGACCTGCACCGTGATTAACATTACGGCGCTCTCGGCGACACGGTCTACCTCTTAAGTGCGATAAGATACAAGTGCGAAGCGACGCAGGATCAAAAGCCAACTAATGTATTCTTTAACCCACGGGTGATGGACAAATGGTTAAGGCATGGAGAGCCAAGCTTAGGGGACGTTTATAATTGATGCGATTCCAAGAGTTAAGATTACGATGGAGCAGCTGCACGGAGACGGCTTGGCGTTGGAAGAGAGGGCACCGATACTATCGAGTTATGAGCCAAAGTTAAGACCCAGCGCGACTCAATCGTGGACGAATGCTCAAGAGGGTGAGAAGTTTGAAACCGAATCGGAGGCATAACCTCCAGTAAAGAGATCGCTGTACGTGGATAATGTATACATGGAGACAACAAGGTCATCCCCTACGATCTGAAAGAAGAGTTCGCAAACGAGAGGAGAAGAAGCACGAGTTCCCTATGACGATGAAGACGACGATTATGATGATAAAGGTCGTACTGGACAACAACGAGGATGTCATTCGACGAACAACTGCAATCGTTGTTTGAGCTTTGATAGATCTGTTGGTGAACGAGGACAAGAACTCGGCATACATAAGCATGCGTAATTGGAGAAGATTGCCAAGTTTGAAGAAAGACGATACCTGTCTAACGAAGCTCTCGAGTGCATCTAGACGTTCACCTACGCGATGAAAGAAACGTTCAGACCCCAGAACGACTAATGTGAGCCATTATCGTTGAGCCTGGCAAAGGCGGACAAGAGCTGGAACCTACATTTGTTGCAGAAAACACAACGTACTTGTCAGCTGCTTATCAAAGCGCTTTGGAGTACTAATGCCCACAGTACGATCATTCGTCAGATCCAGATATTACTCGGCAAAGCGTCAGAAATCAGAACACTTTTGCTACTTCCTCTTCCGCTTGAATGGATATCCAGAAGCAGCGCAGATTCAATACGAGAAGGATGGAGACGAATCTAAAGAACATGTGGAGCACTTCCTGCTTAATGGTAGAGACGATGACTTGATGAATTTGTCTACCCGCAACGACTGGGTGATATACATCGAGTGGAACAGATCATCAGTCACCGGTTGCTAGGCAAAAAGCGCAAGAAGCAACGTGACAGAATGAGCAGCAATCGACTATCTCATCCACACAGATACGAGTCCAGGATCACTCGCCGAAGAGACCGCCGTAACGACAGCACGCGTAAATCAGAAGGCCGACGTGACAACAGACGTGATGGTCACCGTTATGATCACCAAGAGAGACATGAAGAACACCAACTCGTCATCAGAGACAGGCAAATCGCGGCGCGAAGGACGAACAGGGAGATACGAGTACGATGGTAGCCGTCGTATTACCCTTGCATCGGCAACTACGGACGATCTGCGGGCTGCAGTCGAAGAATTGAGGCATAGAAAATACGCTGATCATTACGAGTCGCAAGGGGACTAAGCGACTACGACTACACAAACGACTACGTGCTCTGACGTCGATTACATGTAGGTGGGCAGAGAAGTGAACAGATTAACGTTACGTGCAGAACGCAATGAGCGAGTAGGATCTGGTCCTAATACTATGGGTCGGGCAGGTGAACCAGCTGAGCACGAGGTAGGATCTGATCAACATGATCAAGGCAATCAGCGCCATCGGCAAGACCACTCTAGAGAATGCCGACCATGGTGTCCCTGTGGTGCATGTGGTTTAGCAGGACAAGACGCTCAATTTTGCAGACGACGTTGTAAATTCTGCAAACAAGTGCATGACTTCGAAAGGTGTGACTGTTCACGGAGTTTGAGAGGCTCACCAGTTTCGTAAAGCTATCGATCGATCAAATCGCGGTGCCCGAGGAACTCCAACACATCTTTTCGCAGGCCATTTAAACTAGGAAGCTCGCCGACTTTGACTGGGTCGGGCAACAACGGGCTACTAAAGTCAGTGGAACTAGAATTCGACGCGAACTAAGGTTGGATTTATTGGAGACACAAGAAGCCCGGCGATGAAGCGTGTGGAAGGATAACTAGAGAAGAAGATCCACCGGAATTGTCCACTACCGACGAATGAGTCGATGGTGAAAGAGCGATGGCTCGGATGGACGCTTCACCCAATTCTCGGCGACATAGTGACCGGAGAAGCCCTTTAAATGATACAAGGCGAGCGACTAGGATGATGGTCGTCAAGAAAGTTTGATCGGAGGGTAAGAATGAGAGCTTTTGTAATGGGAGCAGTCAATGATGAACGGAATCGGATACCACTTGACAGTGGAGCTAACATCTCAGCGATAAGTAAGTCGTTCGCAACGAAAACTGAAGCTCCGAGGTCGAATGAGTACGGACAAGCAGATTGATGTACAAGTGATAGGGAAGTCAAAAGTAGTCACGACGTCACGACTTCACGGTCATGATCATAATCGGGGGAA